GGCAATCTACATCCGTAGAGTTAAATATCAGAAGCGTATAGATGACAATGAAGACCGACTGCTTTGACAGCATTGACTGCCTGTGGTATATATATGTATTTTTAATTTAATACATGTTTAATGTATGTTATAAAAATTTTTATGGAAGAGTCACCCAGGGCCGTGGTGTTATGCCAGATGGTACATCAAGATTCACTTGTAATGGAAAAACCATCTATCACTTCATGGGTTGTAGTACCTTTTCTGAATACACTGTTGTAGCTTCAATTTCATTGTGCAAGGTTTGTTGAATTCTTTTACAGTTTTAAATTCTTATTCCATTTGTTTTAAGCGTATCGACGTACGCACACAGATGCAATTAAAAACAATGCATCACATACATTGGATATGATTTGTGGGAATTTATTGTATTCGAACCGATCTGGAAACAGACGTCTTTAACAATTTCACCATTACGACGCCCCCTCCGTTGTGATAATTGTTAAAACTTGCATTTTCTCCTAATCATTTTCACTTTGAAAATAATCATGTAGCTTACTTTGGCCCTTTGTTTTAAGATTATTTATATTTTATTAATTATGAAAATTAATTGATTTACATATGATTGACAGATACCGAAAGAGGCAGATTTGCAGAAAGTATGCTTGCTTGGCTGCGGCATTTCAACAGGATTCGGAGCTGTTTTCAATACTGCTAAAGTTTTTCATCTTAAAATTCATTCAATTAAGTTACATTAGTTAACTTAGAATTGAAATATTTTAAAAGGTTGAAAAAGGATCGGTCTGTGGTGTTTGGGGCATTGGTGCTGTGGGTCTAGCCGCCATTATGGGATGCCAGAAGGCCGGTGCAAGCAAAATATATGCCGTTGATATCAATGAAAAGAAGTTTGATCTAGGTTTGGTTTGTAATTGTTTACAATTTTCAACTACTATATTTTGAGTATAAGTTTGTGACGTGAAGATTTGTGAATATTTTATGGGGAAGGAAAAATCTGAAAAATATTTTTTCAGTTTGGTCGACAGTTTTGTGGCTTCCAAATAATATTTTTTCAGAATGCTTAATTACTATATATTACCAAATGCTTGATAATATAAAACACATAATTAACTTTTTAAGCAACAAATTTTTGGAATTATCTTTTCATTTAATTTATTTGAACTTACAAAGCTAAAAAGTTTGGGGCTACACATGTAATTAATCCAGCAAATTACAACAAACCGATGCAAGAAGTTCTGGTTGAAATGACGGATGGGGGCTTTGATTACACATTTGAATGCATAGGCAATGTTCAAACCATGGTTAGTAGAATTAATTAGTGTTCATTTTTCAAAAATAAATTGTGATTGGCTATTGAATTAAAAATACCAACTATATAATGCTGCTGAACTTCGGGATCTTCTTAGTTACTGTATTGTTTTTTAACTAATAGCAGTTATCATTGTCCTGCACAAATTATAATGGACCCGCGACGTCAACACTGCTCTTGCTTCTCGCTTTCAATACATTTTTTAATGGAAAGAACATGATAGGGAATACGATACCAATATAAAATATTGTGGCATCAACGTATCAGCCGCTCCTGAAAATTTCGCGAAATGATTTATGAAAATTTTTAAGAGAAGCGAAATTAAGATTTCTATCAATTATTATTTTAGATAGAAATAAAAAACCTTTACAATCGAAGCTCTCAAGAGATCCTGGACTTAGATTTTTAACAAAAGCTTTTTTTCATTTTTAATTTAATTCCAAACTCGAGAAGTGAAATTGTAATATATTTTTTTTGTGGGGAATCTAATTATGATAAACGGCAATTGCAAATGAAATTAATTAGAGATCAGCATTAGAGGCCTGCCACAAAGGATGGGGTGTGTCGGTCATCATTGGAGTTGCAGCAGCTGGCCAGGAAATCTCCACCAAACCGTTCCAACTCGTCACAGGCAGAACGTGGAAAGGAACTGCATTTGGAGGTATTATTAGTTGATTTGTGACGACATGTTCGTCAACTGATGATTGCTTTTAGCACTAGTATCTCGGGATGACGCATTTTTTAGAAACCTTTTCGTCAATGAAAAGTTTTAGTATTATTTATCATTTTAAAACTGATAAAAAACAGGTTACAAGAGTAAAGATTGCGTTCCATTGCTTGTCAACAAATACTTGGGAAAAGAACTAGAAATAGATGATTTTGTAACTCACACCATGGAATTAAACGATATAAACAAAGCTTTTCATTTGATGCACACTGGAGAGAGGTTTGCATTTATTTGTCACGTAAATGATATATTTTATGAATGGTGAGAAATATTTTATTTCCTATTAAAATCACTCATTGTTAGTTTGGAAAAAGAGTTTCTATAATTTTCTATAAAAATCCCAATTATTAATTTGGAGAGAGAGAGAGAGAGTTTTTATAAGTAAACAGATTAATTGATTGATTGACCTTAATAATAAATTTAATTTTTCAGCATTAGATCTGTTGTTAAAATCGGCCATTGATCTGTCGCAGTTTCGGTACATTTTGGTTGATATCATTTGATAATATTAATATTAATAAAACTTCCAATTATCCAATCACGTTCTACTTTATTATTATTGACTGTGGTTCACAGCAAAATGTATAAATAAAATGTCATCATCACCGAAGCACGTGCGCTTTTTGAATGCCGTTTTTTTTTGCGGACAGAGGTACTATGATGCGTAATTGTGTTCATTGAAATTAGTTTCACGAATCTACCCGTGATGTAGTGTTTACTTTATGTCCACCTTATACGACCGATTTAAGCCTCGAGTTTATTTTTATTCGCACGAAGGCTTGCTTTTCGTGTTTTTGTGTTATGTCCGGCGTATTGAAAAAAAAAATCGGAAAACTTTTCTTCCGATCGTGCATTGGTGGTAGCATATAACCAAATGAAATTAAATATACTTCTTTAGATTTAATATAATATATATACAACACAGCAATAACAAGAAACAGTGAGAACTTTTATAATTTTCCACGCGTGATTTGTTAATCAGTGAATGTAAATAAGGTAAAAGTGAATTCTCTTACATTTAATGCCTTTTAATTCCGCGCTCTCTGCTGTTACTTTGCTTTACGATCGACATTCAAACGACCCGCCGAAATATAAAAGCGGAACGGCCGACGAATTGTTTCAAACTATGCGACTTGTCGTCGACAACCTTCGGCTGCTGCTAAGAAGAAAAACTTATCTCAAAATTTAAGGTTAGAACTCACCTACCCTGCTGCTTTGGCTTACGATGTGAGTTTATAAAATTATAATATATGTTTATTTAAACAAATACATTTTGATATCAACTCAGAAACGAAACATGGCTGCTACGGTGTCCAACCTTGTTTTGTTATTTTTAGTTGTACTGGTCAAACCTTCACCATCCATGCCAAACAAAAACAGATTGTCAATAGACTGTTATTACAAAGATTTATGTCCGTATTTAAGTAAAATCGTCAAATTCGCCGAAGGGAACATGAGAAAAGAAGACAGTTATCCGGAAAAATTCAAACGAGCCAACTATGAAACTCAATGGGATTATGAAGATTACGGATACGGAGGAGGAAGATTCGGAAAAAGAAATGATCCATCGTAAGATTCGATCGTCATTTTTCTATTACGTCTACTTAAAAACTGGGTCATGTAATTTTTTTGAATGTTGTGACGATAGTCGCCATCTAACTATTATACAAACAATTATGAAAATGATACTATGTAATTTTATCACATTTTTAATAAAAAATACTTGCATTTACAAATGATTCATCACATAATATGTGCATTTTAACGTATTGGTTATGAAATTTTGTGTTAATCAATAAAGAAAGCAGGTCTAAACTGTATCCATTTGCTTTTGTCTTCGTTTATAGGAACATATAAATAGGTTACTAGAGTGTTTCTCGTAGTATCGCTGTAAACAGGAATGTACAATCGATTGTGGTAGTCCAAATCGTAGTTCGCTGTTTTCTGTGAAAACAAATTTTAGATTTTACTTTACTAAACTTTACTTTCAAAAATTTACGAGTGAATTTTTCGTAATAAACATTTACAGAGATTTTCTTTAAAAATGGACGTTTTTTAATGTTCCGTTCGTAGCAAATGCGATTCTTTGCTTGATACGGTGCTTTTAGGTCATTTTATGTTCCCATCGGAATGAATGTGCCAGAAAAATAAAAAAAATGCCGTAACAAATTTTATGCTTAAAACATCTGACAATTTTTAAGGGTTGTTATTGTAAAACAAATAACATTTTTTGTTGAAAAATTTAAAAATACTTTTATTGTCCATGAAATGTGGCATTCTGGAACCTCAGAATACACTGGTTCATGTCCCCTTTTCTCTGTTAACTTGTTGCCGTCAAAATTACATCCCTCAAGTTTCAGTCCTTTTAACTTTAGAGTGCGATTTCCAGATTTGTTGCCTTGGTGCCAGCTGCACTCCATGCATACATTATCGATGGAGCTATTAACGGATCTTAATAAATTACAGATATAATTTTGTTAATAAATTTAATATCATTTGATAAACTCACACCCTTATAAAATTAACCTTGAAGATAGTTGCCGATGAGCGTTAATAAATGACTCGGGTCTTAAAAGGTCTGACAGATCTATTGTGTTATCTAGCAATCTTCCTTTTTCAACTTTTTCTTTCCATTTGAAGATTGATGAAGTTTTCTTGATGAGTGTTCTCATGTAATTCATTGGATTTTCTGGACCTTCCCACTTGTTCAGCCAACATGATGGAGTCTAATGAGAACCAAAGAAAAAAGATAAAAGCTTCCCAACTTAACTTTCAAATTTAAAATTTTCACCTGAATGTTTATGAGTTCAGATGCCATGTGAGCCACCTCAGCTGATAATAACTGCTTCCCAGATAAAACTTTTTCAAGAAGATTGAGCGTGTGATCAACGTAATGCACGACATTTAAAGCTGTATTTACCTCCAATGAAACAAAATAGCTAAGCGAATCTAATTCAGATTTATTGTTTGTTGTCTTTTCGGGATTGTGTTTTGCATTTAAGAAACTATGATCCTGTATAAATAATAAAACAAAATTAAAACTAAAGTTGGGTTTGTCAAACAATATTTTTTATGGTCGGTTTTAAAATTTGTGTTGAACGACGTCTAAAAGCACGTTCAAGAAAAAACTCTAAAACGCAAACCACGGTGCAAGGTGCAAATATAATATTTTTGTGTAAAAATATCTCACCATATTCAATTTTTTCCAAAAGTTAATCATTGGATTAATTTCTTCACACCACAATTCACGATCGAATTTTGAATTTTTCAAATTCGATCTTTTCAATTGCTTTAAATGGTTTATAATTTCGTTTGCTACCAGCTTTTCAGTCACTAGATTAATATTCTCTGGAAGTCCTGAAAAACTTGGTTTATCAAACTCTGGCAAACTCTCTATGACGTCTATATGATCCTGAAAATGAAATAAGGAAAGTATGTTACCAGGTGAGGTAAAAATAATTAATGAATACCTTGAATTGGTAGGACTGAGGAGCTTTGAGAGGACCAAGCGATTTATTCATGTTCGAATTGAAGAATTGATTCAAGTAGGAAATCAGTACTTGGTTGTCATCGTTATTGTCAATTTTCCCCCCATAGACTGCTTCTTCAAAGAGACCATGAACAAATCCCCACGATATATTGCTTGTGTCTGTGATTGTAATAATTTTTTACCAAATTTCATAAAATCAGCCGAAATGGCTCATTGAATATAGACGAAATTGTCTTCAATGGGCGCGTTGCTAAATGCAATCTGTTACTGTTAGACAACTGTGTAACTGTTTTTTAAGGGAAATCTTGAATTACAACAATAAAAAGCACAGCCTGGACATGCGCCGTTTAATTAAGACAAAAAGTATTTTATTCCATAAATTATCAACAATGACATCAAAAATAATAGGAAAAAGCATTTGTAATAAACGTAGATATGTTTATATAAACTTAACTCTTCAAATTACTTAATTTTTTTGGTTAAATTAAAACTTTTTGAATTTTCAGATGACATTTTTAAAAAATATTCTCAGAAACACAGGTGGAAATATTTTTCTTAAAGTTCCTGTTTGTTTGGATTTTTTAAGCAAATGAATATCAATCGTAGTGATCATCTTTTTTTAGATTTGAAGTGAGGAGAAATATTTCGGTGAATCCTCCGGATTTTCCAACTCAATCATTTTCCAATTGCCAACATTTTTCAGAAACTCAGGCAAGTTACAAAAACAAGTTCCGTTGGCCTAATAACTGAAATTTCATTAAAAACTCAGTTTTTTTTTTAGATCATTGGCGTTATGGCAAAATGATTCATCATCCACTAAATAGTTTTTTTAGCGATAGCATCTTGTTTTCTGAAGCATGCTGTGGATGATGGGGTATGAGTGAAGCGACTTGCTGTTTTTCAAATCAATTTCAGAGCTTGATGGATATCCACTTGTTGGTTACATCCAATACATGTTCACATCTATTAAACGAAAAACTGAACGAGACTACTTCTCTAACAAACTTGAAGACGCACATAACAATGTTGGACAAAAATGGAACACTATCAAAGAAATTCTAAACAAGCAACCTCCTAACTCATCAATCACCAAACTAACTATCAACAACCAAGCAATTGAAAATAAACAAGAAATATGTGACCTTCTCAACACCCACTTTGCAAACATCGCTAGTCAACTACTCTCAAACCAACCTCCCTGCTATGGTAATCCTACAGATTTTATGAGCCCATCCCCACCCCATTCCATTTGTCTATATCCTGTTACTGAACAAGAAATATTAACTACTGTTAATATCTTGAAAAACAAAAAGAGCTATGCAGACGATGGACTCAACATGTTCCTTATCAAAAGCATAATTTCCTCTATCATATCACCACTTAATCATATCTTCAACTTATCACTAAGCACTGGAATCTTTCCTGACTCATTTAAAATAGCCAAAATCATACCAGTATTCAAGAAAGGAAACAAAGATGACATTAACAACTACAGACTCATCTCCATTCTTTCCCCGCTGTCAAAAATTCTTGAAAAACTTTACTTTAAAAGACTCTCTAATTTCTTCTGCTCCAACAATACTATCTGCAATAACCAATACGGATTCAGACCCAACCACTCAACTGAGCTTGCTATTCTTGACTTCACTCAGCACATACTAAATGAAATGAATAACAAAAATCTTTCTATTGGCATTTTCCTGGACTTATCCAAAGCCTTCGATGTCATCGATCACAAAATACTCCTATCCAAACTACATCATTACGGAGTAAGAGGCACAGCTCACAACTGGATGAGAAGCTATCTTTCATCACGGACACAATATGTTTCCATGGACAACATCAATTCAAAGCACGCTCTTATTCATCACGGGGTGCCACAAGGATCCATACTAGGACCCCTTCTATTTTCTATCTACATAAATGACCTCTGCAATGTTTCGCCCTCAACCAAATGCGTACTGTTCGCAGACGACACCAACCTTCTTTTTACTTCCAACAACCTACCAGATTGCTCTGAACATATCAATCTTGAACTCCAAAAATACTCTAACTGGTTATCCAATAACAAACTAATCATAAATTATTCGAAATGTGCATACATTATTTTTGGCCCAAAAATACTCACCAACCAAGCTCCTAACCTAAACCTATTAGTTAATGGTGTTCCTATAAGCCGCACCCTGTCTACCAAATTTCTTGGAATCACCATCACAGAAAATCTTTCATGGAATTCTCACCTACAAACTACCTCAGACAAAATCAACAACTTCTACAAAATCAAATATAAACTCTCTCTTTGTGCTCTTCGCACGCTTTATTACACATTCATCTACCCTTATCTAACCTACTGCATCACACTATGGGGAAATAGTCCAAAAAGCCACCTGAATAACCTAATACTTTCCCAAAAAAGATCAATACGTTTAATTTTTAACCTCAAACCCGATTCTCATACTAAACCCTAATCCTAAATAAATACTAATCAACAATCTTCTCCCACCTCACTTTATCAACTTCAATCTACAACCACTAGACACACCCCTCTCTTCTATATCTACAAAACTCGCCTCAAATTAATCCAGACAAGCATAAAAATAACAGGTCCTAAAATTTGGACAGAACTTGTACCTCCCCATCTAAGATCCATCATAAACCTACAACATTTCAAGTCAAAATTCCGTGCTTTTTTATTGACACTGGATCTCGACTCCACCACCTAATATTATATTAAGAATAAGCTAGAACAAATGATGCGGATGAATGGTCTTTATGAATGGTTAAACATTTATGTGTTTATATATGTACTGAGCGAACATTTACATAGTTATATGTCTATATATGTATGACACGAACATTTACTTATTTATCTTCAATTATCTTTCTGCTTCAGTTATTTTCCTTATTTTATTCCATTCACTATTCATGTATTTACCTGCGGTGGCCACCACAAGACAAACAGTCTTATTCGGTCTCCGCATACTCAACTTCATAACTTTTATTCACTTATTTGATATGTTGTTGATTATGAATAAAACTTTGAAAATGAAATGAAATGAAATACAAACGAACGGTATACTAAATTAGGCAGCAACAATTATGTTCGCCGTTTTTTGCATTAAAAACATATATGAGTTTTTAGATAAGCAATCCAATTTATTTCGTAAATAACTAAGTTTACTGTGTTTCGTTCAATAATGAAACAGAATAAATATCTAAATTACGAAATATGCAGAATATAACAGCAAAAATATGCATGGTGATCAACAGGCAGCGACTATTTTCTTATCTATTTTGGTATACGAATCACATCTGATTTTATCTGACTGTGCATGCTTTTGTCTAGATATCCATGTTTTTGACAAACAGGCGTTGCGAGAAGCACGCGTGAGCTAACAGCTGCGTTGCTAATTCTAGCTGCCCACTTCAGACTGTTTTATGAATCTTGCACGGTTCTAAGTAGGTGATTTCAAAGTTTGATTGAATGGCGCCACAGTACCAACTCAATGCTATATACGCACGTATATATATATATATATATACGTATATATATATATATATATATATATATATATATATATACACGTATATACATGAGTCCTTATACCAGCATAATTAGTACACACTGCGACAGAACGTTGCGGAAATTAACAAAGAAAAGTAAATAACCTGAAAGAAACTAACATAAACCATAAAGAACATAGTTTGCGCAGCTTGCCGTCCGTGGCAACGCGCCCAATGAATAAACTAAATAAAATAACTATGATCATTAATGTATGAATAAGGTTGTATACCAGATTTTGAAAATAGTTTGTCTATTATTTGTACGGCACACTGCAAATCTGTTTGACCAAATTCATAAAATTTTGTCCAACCCTTAATAGATAACAATTTTTTAACAGGCATTTAAATAATATTATTATTCACGTTGAGATTTTATTATTTCATTGTTTAATATGAAGAAATTACGTCACTTGGGAAATTGGTTAAAAATGTTAATTTCATGACGGTTTTTCATCGATGTCATTAGAAGCAGATACAAATCATAATGTAGGCAGATTTAATGTTGTTTAAAAGATATTAAAAGATGTTAAATACTAAATACTGGCACAAACTTGCGGGATGTATGATCTCCTCTCTTGGACAACGGCATGGAACCAGGCCAACGTGAAGAGAGATTGGGACCTCAACAAATCATCATTATCATATTAACTATTATACATGAAGTAATTAATTAACTGAAGTTGGGAAAGTGAAATTTGAAGGATGATGTATTGAAAATTCAGAAACAGACCAAATGACGAAACGTGTTTAAAGAAGATTACCTCATGACGTTTCTGTTTTTTGAAATAGTGTCTGTCCCCCATGAATCATAAGTCCTCAGCAAATTTTTTTTCACACCAGCAGGAGCCTACAAAATTATCCAAGTAAACTTTTTACCCATAAATTATACTATATTATAAATGTAATAGTGAAATAATTCGATGCCACATAATAAATTACCGTCCAGATAATTCTCATCAATCGAGCAAAATTATACGACGAGTTTGTTATTAAGTTTAAATTTTGATAGCTTAACTTAAATGTTGGTAAGAATGAAATATGTCTTTAAAACAATGCGGAAACATTGGATAAAATTAATACAAACGTCTCATACATACGCAACACATCCGGTAATGCATCGTTATGAAATGCGGTTGCTTTTCAATTATTTTCTTTATGGAAACTACGAGAAACAATTTTATTACGTACCATCCACACAACTTAAAGTTATTACGTACCATCCACACAACTTAAACGTTTGTAAAACCGTTTAGTTAAAATGTCATTATTTAGATAAGAAAATAGTTTAGCAATAAGTATGAAGCCGAAATCCGGGCCCCTCAAAATTACGCTCCCTTGTCACTTGTTTGTTCGGCTCCGTGATTTATTGTTGAAAGTTTTGATAGTTTTACATCAAACTTCGTTGGTTAAGATAGTTTGAAAATTAATTGATATAAATTTTTACAAAATACGTCGATCATTTAGCTTAATAGGAAGAAGATGGTGTTTTTTTTAATTATAAGAATTTAATAACGTACCACTTGACAGCATATTTAAAAAAAACCCTTCTCGGAGATTTCAATAACAAGTGCTACTAAAATCAATTAAAACAATAATGAAAATATTAAATTTAATATAAATATGATTATAACACATTGCAACAAACAACATACAAGACTAATGAGCTAATCACCTCGTATGTAACCTTCAAACAAGTTTTCAGGAAGACAGCAGGAAAGTTTTGATGGGCTTCTGAAGTCAGCCATAATCGAAAGTTTTCATGCGGCTCCAAAGATTTGAATTCCTTTAATATATGTAATTTTATATGATAAAAATTTGTTTGAATTTTTAGACAATAAAACAACTAAAACATTAATTAGTATCTTCATCGTCATCATCACATTGGCTTAACATCACGACAAGTGATAGCATATCATTTTTTACAAGTTTATTCTTGAAAATATGAATCATCATTTATTTCTTAAAGGAAATTCATAATGTACAAACCTTCTCAAGAACGGAAAGCCAAGAAATAGAAAGATGCAAATTTTTCAAACAGAGCCACTCCCCTTTGTTGGCACAACTTTTCAGCAGCTGTATAGCGGTGTCTGTTTGCCCTTGACCTAAGGCTACCTTGTAAATTTAAGTCGACTTTCGTTAAAAATCTTTAAATAACAATTTCATAATTCTTTAAAGTTGTTTGGATCATCATTATCGTTTACGGCATTATCATTACATTGAAAAGACACCATAAATCACATCACATTGTTTCGCGGTACTCAAAAAAACTGTAATCGCAATTTAATCGTTTCATCATTTGTACGCATTTTTATTAGACCGGCACAAAACGATTAATAATCTGATAAGTACTTAGGAAATAATTTAGATTGAGACTAGAGCCCTGCGCGGTTTGCGGTTGTCGCGGTTTAAACCGCAAAAACCGCACCGCAACCGCGGTTTTTTACGGTTGCGGTGCTTAAATCATGCGGTTTTACGCGGTTGCGGTTTTGAAATGTGCGGTTTTTCGGCGGCGCGGTTTTTTTTATCAAAACCGCGGTGACCGCAAAAATTTTGTTAAATATTTTTGTTCGTCCATATCATTTTAAAAATTGCATTATCATTGTAATAATTTTTATATATAGTGTCTTTGAAAAATCTTAATATCATTGGAAGCCGTTGAAGCAACCATTTTCTTTTTCCTGTTTACTTTGAAAGAAGTAGTTATTTTATTTACGGCGTGGTTAATTATCGATTATTTTATAAAAATGTCCGAGGTAAAAAATGTTGATGTTGATCCACAGGTAGATGTAATTGATAAATAATTTTTGATTAAAATGATGCTGTCCAAAAGCAAAAACGTTTCTTTAAAAGCGCAAGAAAATTTTAAGTGAAATTTGGGAAAATTTTAGCAGAATTTATTTTAAAAACGTGGCTACATCATTTATCTATTGTAACAAATGTGAAGCCTAAATGTTATTTATTAAGAGTAACAGTGATTTGGATGTAGATAGTTGTGATTTATAATGTCAATAAAAGCACTAATGTTGTTTTTCATTTCTTGCGGTGCGGTTTTCAGCGCTGCAGTTGCGGGCGGCTTTGGTTTCAAGTATTGCGGTTTTGTGCGGTTGCGGTTTTTGAAAATTCCAACCGCGCAGGGCTCTAATTGAGACTTATACATAAAAAAGCAAATTTTAAAAATTATTCTATATTCTATAGGTAGCTTGCGCATGAAAACAAGACGTGGAGATATATGAGAGAAGAAAGGGGCACGAGCACTAAACAAACTTTTGCATTATTATCACTGCTAAACAAAAATTACTTCATAAAACACTCAAAAGCAGTCAATTTAGTTGTTTTTCTAAGTAAAAATACTTTATCTTTATGTTTCACAACATACTGAAAAAAATTGTGATTTTATTCACATTATTAGCATTTATTTTCAGTAGTAAAGATTGTTGGTTATCGGTACATATATCCTCTAAAAAACACAATCTCAAAAAAAATTTTCAGAAAAAAATAAAAGTTTTTTTTTAAATAAATTACATTTTCCGGAGTCGGATAAAAAAATCCGATTCCGACCCTTACAAAATTCAGACTCCGACTGCGACGTTGCTTAAAAGTTGCTAAACAATTCAGTTGATAAAATTATCAACTGAATGATTCACTGAAATTTTAAATACGTGAATTAATGTTGTGAATAAAATTCAGATTGACAATGGTAAAAAAAATTTATATAATCAGTCGTAGCTTACTTGATTATATTTATCAAGACCAACAGTTTTCTTGGCTAGGTCTTCGAGTTCCTGCGAGGGATCTGCTCCTTGAGAAATGATGAACAGGATTGGCTCCCTGCAATGTGAATCCTGCTCAAACAACTGTCTTAAATTCAAATTGAGAGCTGACAACTCTTTGAAACCTGAGTAGAACATATAACATTAATACACGTTGAATTGTATTGAAAAGGTTTCTGGAATTTGACAGCAAACGCACCCAAATAATTGCAAGCGAATGAGTTCATCGAAATGAGTAAACTCTCAGGCTTAATTGCTTGGACAGTGAGCAGTTCTTGAAAGGGAGTTATCTTTGAAGACAACTTCTGTGGGATTTTCGCGGTGGATTTAGGTAAAACCCAGTCAGACCAGATGTTTGTGTCTGTCAAGTTCAAACTGGAGTACAACTCAGGAAAAGTTTCCTGAAAATATAATCATTGATTTTAAAATCTACCAAAATTATACTCATTGATTTTAAAATTGCATAATTTGCCAAACATAAAATGTTCAATTAACCAATGCAATATAATTAAACAAACAAAAACAGTACTTTTCAATAGTAAAAACAAGCCCGATAGAAACTATTTCAAAAAGACCTTTAAAAGTAGAACAGCATTGGTCTGGTCTTTGTCTATCCAGTCAGGAAGTTTCAACTGTACGCTATCAAGAGAGCCAGAACTTGTCAAGCCAATGTATGCATCCCATTCCTGCAATCATTATTTATTCCACATATCAATTTTTTACTTTTGAAATATAAGATTTTATTTTAGTTATTATATTGATCTTTTATTTATTCATTCAAATAGTGCGACATAAAAATATAGCTAGTTAACGTGAAAATTAAACAGGAGCAACGACGGAAACTTAGAATAAAATAAAAACACCTCTTTCGAAATGGAATCAGTTTGTATGTTGTTAATGAGGTGCATAGCGAACACAAGACAATCCTTTTTAAACAAAGATCGCGAGTAGTACGTATAGACGTAGTACTGTAATGATTTTATGAGGCGGATTCTATATTCACTGCTGTCTTTTGATGTGGCCGTCTGATAGAATTTTAGTTTATAAAAGTTAGTTTATTATAAAAAATCATTTACATTTTTTGAAAAAATTTATTGTTGTTTGTTTACGGTGAAGTTAGTTTTATGATCATGAAATAATTACCTTCTCCAACTTGAATAATTTGTTGAACAGCTTCACAAATGATTCCAAACTGAACTGGTACATGTTGTTTATTAGGTGCAAATCATGTATGGCGAAGTACATCTTACTACCAGCATCCGCTAGTGGCAGGAAGCTGTTCCTTTCCTGTTTTGTTGAGAAATCATTTGCTAGGGCATTATAACTGAAAACCAAAATAGAAGATAAAGTCACCAAAAAAGAATGAAAAAAAATGAAACAAGATTAAACCATGAGCAACCTCATCAAGTGATGTTTGCAGCTGAAGTGACTCATCCAGTGATTGACTAATGATTCCACTATTTTGTTTCGTTTGATTCAAAGAGTCTAACAATTCTTTGTTTTCTAATATGTCTCCTTTGGCGTTACCTAACTCCTTTTGGAACAATTATAACAAAAAATACAAGTTAACACACGCATAAATACAAACATTTTTTATTCATAGAGTAAACTTGAAGTAAAGAATCCTCTAGATCAGTAAGTTGTTTCTTCATGTTCTCTTCGTTGCTCAGCAGTTCTGTCTTGCGAGATTCCAATTCTGGCTTCTCGTTCATGAGTGTCGTGGCCAGCAACTGTAAAGATGATTAGACGTCCGCTTGTTTCATTCATCTTCATGGTCATCATCGTCATCATCATCATGATCATCATAAATTACATTATTTTATCATCAATAATCATTATCGTTGCCTTCTACATTTAAAAAGTAATTAATCTTGTAAGTAATATGTTAACAGTTTTACATTAGTCAGAGTAGCGTAAAGAATATAAAAAAAAGTAAATTATTTTGTCACAAACAAGTTGCAATGTAGATTAAAAAAGTGATGTCATTATGATTATAATTTGCTTTTAAAATTCTAAAATATATAAACTGCACAAGTTGTTTTAGCAACATAAGCTCCGATTGACTATTAAATATAAAAAGTTGAATTCAAATTCATGAAACCTCAAAAGTTACATTCATCAACCACCGACATTTTATAACGACATTTTAAACAAATCTCACAATAACGAACAACTGATTCAACTCATCTCAGAAAAAATACCTGACTGGTGAGACCTGACTTGGTGATAGTGAAGTTGATGATGGTCAGCAGGGAGAGAATGTGAGATGGGAGAGGGGGAGATGGATTTCGTGTGGACAAGAACAAAGTGAATTTGTCATCGTAATCAATCATTTTATCACCTACTTGTATGATCTTTCGCGATCCTGACGAGTTTTTCAACGATTTCAATAGAAATTTAATTAACTAGCGTAAATTATTTTAGTTTAAATGGAGAACACCTAAAAATTCTAATAATTTTTTCGATCAGTAAACTGAAGATATCATCGTCCGAAATAAAATTCGAGATATCCTTTTGATCTAATCGTTATCATCGTCACAATCGTCAGCACAAAAATTTTATTACGTCAAAATTTAAAACAAATACTGAATTTCACTTCAACATTTTAAACCGCTCCGAATTCTAACTACAGCAAACGAATTTGAAAAAATTATCATTAAAAGCTTCAAACTCTCAAAAGAACTAATGTGAACGACCAATAACAATTATCATTTAAATTAATTAAAATTTTTGATGTTTGTATAATTTGAAATGAAGCCATCCAACCTTGATGCACAATATCTCGCCTTAGCAACGGAACGAGTGCAGCTTCAACAACATCCACGTCCATTATTATCAACGTTTTCCCGAATTTGACCGCCAATTCAACTTGGTTGAATAAATTTGAGTCCTGTCCAAAAATTCAGCAGTAAAATGCAGATTCAGTTACGTGGGTTGATACTAAACACTTAATAATGTCATAACAGACGAAATTTTTAGAAAAGAAAAAATTTTGACATTGTTAAGACGTAGTTTCATTATTATTCCACAAAAATTTCATCTGAGTTATTTTATTTTAGATAAATTAAAATGCCGCTTGATACGAAAAATCGACGAAATGTTGAACAGGAGAAAAAACAAGTGTCCATACACAGAAATTTCAGTCACTAGAGATAGAAATAGCAACGAGACTCAGAACGAAACGACTGAATAACTTTTAAAGTACCTGAGCATTGATCGCCTCAACATTGTTGTTCTTGTAGTGGTTTCTGATCCAGTTTGTGGATCGGAAGGATGGGTCGATGATCATCGGAGTCTGTGTGCTCTGTGTGTTACAACAAATCAGTTAGTTGAGGTAAAGGCAAGCTTCAAATAGATATTAAACATTTCAATAAAAATATACACACTCAAACAATTAAAAATCGGTTATTAAATTTTATAATAAACAACATTTGCTTGTAATGATTTTAAATATAAATAAACCAATGTAAAAAAAATAAATGACATCAAAACTAAAGAAAATAAGCAAGTAAAGAACTGATGCTGGTGAGCTGACATTTTGAATAGCAACGGCATTCTCCAGGCTCAGGCCATCCGATGGTAAGCCTTCAACCTTCCACAACAATTGATCATTCTCTGAACTCAAAAATCTGCAAGTGCCAACATTGTTGGAAATGGATTTTAATTATTTCATGGTGGTATATATCGCATGAAAATCACATGACCATCGGGTAATTATATTTTCCATTGTCAATCGAAATTGAGCACTGAATGCATACAATTTTGAAAGTAGGTACCACAAAACATAATTTGGCCTTTTAAAATTTCGGCATGTGCTTTGCAATGAAAAAAAAACCGCATTAAACCAAACATTAAAAGTTTCTAACCTGATATTGTCAAAGTTTGACAAGGATAAATTTTTGAACCACTGTTGTTTCATTTGCAGTCTCACGTTTTCGGGAGCTGATGAGAGATAAATAATGAATGCAGAGGAGTACAACGCCTTCTCGTTCAATTCATTCAACTCCGTCTCCAACTCTTTTATCTGACAATAAAAAATAGAAAACAATGAAATAACAATCGCAATAACAAAAAATGAACGGCAAAATGTTATTTAAAATGCATTTAAAATACTAAGCCTTCGTTATTATTATTGTTAGTAGTAGTAGTGGTAGTAGTAATAATAATAACAACAAATAAAAATAATGAACCAAGCAAATTATGAAAATGGTTTTCAGCGACATACCTGAGCAGTCCATCTTTTGAACTCCTCGCTGAGTTTGGTAACAAGAGTTTCCGCACTGCTGATAATTTCTTGCGATTTGTCCAACTTAATTTTGAGTTGAGCATTTTCGTTTGTGATTCGTTCAAACTTCTGCCTCAATTCATTTACTCTTTCATCGACGCGTTGCAAACCATCTCCAAGTTTCTTCATTTTATTTCCAACAGAACTCATGTTTCTGAAACAATTTTAAATAAAACTCGCATCTTATATATCGATTGCAATCAGCACTACATTCACCATAAATTGTCAACTAATAAACGACACATCCGGCGAGTCACCGACTTTTGTAATTCATTTTGTTCCCTTTCGAGTGGTTGAATTTTCTCTAGAATGGCAGCGTACTTGGTGTTGGCTGTGACCCAGGAAGCGAGGGGAGCAGCTGCCTCTGATGCTCGCTTAGCATTCTGTTGAAAAAAACTAAGTTTATTTATTAAAAAAAATTGAAACAATTCTGTGTACTTTTATATCGAATGAATTTCCATTTTTCTTGAGTAGGTTTTCAATTGATTTCCTAGTTTCTGGCGTTATTTTGCGAGCATCAAAGTTTTGTATTTCCTCCTTCACTCCTCTCTTCGCTAGAAAACTTTTGGTTAGAATAAATTTTTCAAAAATATACATATATATATATATATATATATATATATATATATATATATATATATATATAAAAGAAAAGAAAAAGAAAAAACGAAAAGAAAGACGACTGCAGCAGAAGAATTTAATTTTGACAAAACTGGGTGAACCTTTTCATGGCAAGCCACGACGTATCGGGATTCCCCATGATGATCATAACCCCTTCCAAAATATCTCTAATAGTATCAGGTGGGGCCCTCAAAGCTCTTATTTCTCCCAAAGTTTCTGTTCTGATGTTACCCACTGCTGACTTGGCTTCTTGGACGATTGGTTCAATTTCTGACAACTCTGCTTCGATCAATTTTTTACGTTTTTCGAGTTTTTCTCCTTCCTTGACGGCCTCCTTCTGGAGATCTTCCATCTCTATTTTTCTGTTGCCTGCATTCTTATGAATTATAAAGTAAGGACCGCGTTAGCTAGAACGTCAATCTCAACTGACATAAACGATAACGACAAAATCGTAGTTTATCGTATTGCGATAAATGTGAAGTTGAATTGTTATAAAAGCTGGCAGCCCGGCTAACCGATAACGTGCTGGTGATTTCAGACATTGAGTTGTCAGCTTCCTTTTGTTTTTCCGCAAGTACTTTATGTTGTTCGTCTGCTTCTCTTTTCAACGAATCCACATGATTTTTGGCTTCTTGTAGCTTAGACAAGCCTTTCTGAAACAATTAATTCTATATTACTAATTGTTTAAATACAATATATATTTGCGACCGTTATATAAGATACAAGTTATTTTCAACGCATTACGCATCAAACAGAAGCATGCAAATCTTTTAGAATAAAGGACAAACATCTGATATTGAAAATATATATAAATTTACAATTTTTATGTTGAACTACAAAATGAAAAAAAAAACCCGGCTGGAACCAAAAAATGAACGCAACCTGTAGTCGTTGTAGTCTCTCAATGATTGTTTTCTTCTTGCTCTGGTACAAGTTACTAAACGTCTTTAACAGGGTGACAAACTTTCTTGGACAATGATCTAATATGACGCTGGATGAAGACGACGACGAAGAAGAGGCGTCCAGGACGGAACGATGAATCTCGTAAAAATGTTTAAAAAACTTTCTACTCAACTTGTGCTCTTTGCTCATTTCTTCAACGCCGCTTTCCGTATCGGCTTCCTTTCTGCCTTTGACTTTTTTGTCCTTAGTTTCTTGATTGACTTCCTTCAAAGCATGCATCACCAGTTGCTGAGATAGCTGCAAGTTTAAATAATCAATCCAAGCTATTAATCAGCCAACCGAGGAAACATTCGTTAAGTCATTCAGTCGATTGTTTGGAGAAAAATTAGCTCATAAGAATTACGATTGGAAATAAAAATCTTTTTTTAAATAAATTTAATGATTTTCTTTTGTAAATATGACCAGTATAAAATTAAAAGAACACATAAAAATTATTAGAAGCATTATGAACTAAAAAATAAATAGATGACAAAAATAATAAATATTAAGTGAACGTGAACTACAGATGAATGAACGAACGAACGAACGAATGAATGACTAATGAATAAATGCATGAGACCTCCTTAGCGCACTCTTCATTCCACATATCCATCCAGATAAAGTTGGATAGCTTCATGATAGAAGGATTGTTCTTGCATGTTGTTACAAACGATTCATCCGACCAATCCATCAACAAACAGATGTGCAAATTCTGTTTCAACTCTGTCACGACAATTTGTTACTCATGGATAAGTTATTACCAACAAATGTTCACAGTCCATTTTTTATTTGCTTTACATCCAATTAGTTTTATTAGTAACAACGCTTTCAAAAAAGTTAGAAATATATAAAAGTAATGAAATTTTTATTAGATAAAAAGAATTTAGTCAAAAACTGTTCTTTAATAGCGTATAATTTTAGAATTAATCATACAATTAAACGGCTAAAAAACACTTGAACATATTTCTTAACGGCTTTCGGTGTAAAAATGAAAAAAAACTATAATGGGAAAAGGCAGAAAAAACTAACTGGCGAAGAGATATTGGAGAGGATTTCCTTGAAATCCTTCGGAGGAACACTGATCACGAACATTTGCAACAACTGTTTCCAGCTCTTCAGGACTGTACAAATTGGAAACTTCACCTTCTGATATCATGCCGTTAATTAATTGATAAAATTGCGCTTCTGTCATTTGGTAATCTTCCAGTAAAAAGATCACTTCACGATTTTCTATGACCGCCGTCTGAACAATCTGACGTTTGAAAGATACAAGTTAATACTTCAAAAAATTATATTATTGATATAAATGATATAAATTTCGTTTTTCAAATGTACCAACTTTCAGAGTTTTTACAAAATTTAATGGAAAAAAAGCTCAGCAATAACTAACATTTTTCAAATCTGATTTGAACTGTTTCATTCCGTAAGATCGAGTGATTTTTGGACTGAAGAGATCCAGTTGATGCATGTAGGCCATCAACTTAATGCAAGTCTTGCGACCAACCCCACTCTGACCACACATCACCATGGACTCGCCTGCACTCGATAGCACTCGATCAACTTTTGAGATCACTTTTAAGAAATCGGGAAAGAAAACAATGGTTTCTTCGCCATATTCCTTCTCTGTATAACGAATTATTAAAATCATTTGTTTGAAAAAAAATTACCTAATCGACTATGATGATTTAAAATTATTTATTAAATCAAATTTCGAGCAAATTCAAAAAATAATTTGTAAAAATTAAACGTTCAAATGTTCAACTAGAAAAATTTAGAAACCGTATTTAGCGAGAACTTTTTCAAGAAGCAATTTGTAATCAATTAGGCTCATTTTATGAAGATGTTTGGTTTTCTTAATGACAGAGCTGTCAGACACGTATAATACGTATACATCTTCATCTGTATTATAAACATTTTATATCAACAGTGGAAAAAAAGTTTATTAACAAAGCCTCATCTTCAACAATTTAATTACAACATGCAACCATAAACTATCACAAATGGCTATTTAAACAAATAAAAGGTAAATTACAAAATAAAATTCATTTAAGAAAAATTTATTGCTGATAATTTTTTTAAAAATTATCTTTTCTACAATTAGAGTACAGCTTTCTCTGTTCATGTAAGCAAAGGTATTGAAGTTTTTTCTCCAAAAAACGCATTCGCGAATGACAAGCTAATTTAACGTCTCGAAAATTGTAAAACTGCACTAATAAAACCTGCCTGTTAGAATATAATTTTGCACCACAATTTATTTGATAACTTATGCTTCTAATTAATCTTTTATATACATTTTCAAACAAATGACATCTCGCAATAGTAATATAGTGCGTGTTAACTGCTCAAGAACTGCAACTTTTAACAGGGAATTGAACGAGCATGTTCAAATGGAAGTCGGCACGAGTTGTTGTATATACATAAAATGAGCTGAATTTTATTATTTTGACACGCAATTAAACACAATAAACATTTAAGGAGAGTGTGCGCTACTTGTTTTGATATTAGAAAAATAAGAGATACCCAACTGATGAGAGTTGTGTCCTTCGAATATTTATAATAGATTTTTTCATTAATTTTTTTCAACAATTTTATTTTATTTGTAAATTTGAAAAAACACATTTTTTGGAGCAATTAAAATTTTCAATTTATAAAAACAAACCAAAATTTCCAGCTTCAATTCTCCCTGACCAAGTGTTGTGGATGATTGTCTTGAGCATTTCATCAAACAACCTTCTTGACTTACTACCAACTAATTTTTCTCTGAATAAGCAGTGTGCTTCGTATGACCAGATTTGGATCAAATGATTGGAAGAGTTATGCGTTGACAGTTCGTTCAGGTCATACCTGGGCCAACATGAATTTTTGTCAAATTGAAACGTATTAATCAAATGAATTTAAACGTGTAATTCATAACTGACGTAAAAACTACGTGATGGTTGTGTGAACAGTTATAATTTTTCAAAACTCATAGTTAAATTTGAAATTACTCATACATACAATTTTAATTTTGATATTATGTGGTTTTATTTGAAAACCTTATATTATGAGCCTATATTTCAACAGAGTTTTACAAGAAAAAATATCATGATAAAAGACCTAGAAAAAGACTCTGTCCAGTCTGTGAGATGTTTCAACGTGAAGACATAGTGACTGTGGTCGTTGGCATTAAAATTTCTCTTGAGCTCATCATATAAGGCAATCATCGACCTGCTCAACATATCCACATTTGATATCTTTCCCCAAAACTGATGTTTAGACAGACTTGGATGAAGAACGGAAAGCAGACGATTTGTGTAAATGTATTCCAGCTCGTTCGTATTGGGACAGCTGAATTTTTGTTGTTATAACTGGTCAGTTATTTTACCAAACTAATCAATAAAAAAATAATGAAAATAAACTGTTAAAATTTCTTCAAATTTTGTTAGTAGCATACAAACCTAATGGAACAAACAGGCAGAAGTGACGTGAACCGAGAAGAAATGTTTGACAAATCTGATGCACCGATGGTCATACTGGCGATTATTTGAAGGCCATCAAAACTTATCATTTCCATTGTCGAGTCATAAAATCCACCGTATGTCAAAATCTTTATAAAAAATACAATAAAATTTACAATTACAAAAATGAAATATCAATACTTAAAAGAATAAAAAGATTCTACCCGCTGTTTCAAACAAAAAAATCTAAGTAGAACGTACTCGGTATTAAACGTTAGAAAAAAAGCTTCATGGATGATCATGTAGAGAATAGTTGAAAGAGAACCTGCTGCAGAAAGGCAAGGAAAGAACTTGTTCCCCACTTATCCACGTGGGGGTAATCCACATCTTTCAGCAGGAGCACCAACTTCTCGCAAGTTTTGGGTTTGTACTTGCGACCACTGCTTGTGTTGACAATGGAACACAACTGATTCAACTTGTGAATGATGTGTTCTGGCAGTGTGTGTGACGTGCAGTTGATGACTGCAAGCTCCGTTGATGATGTTTGGCACTCGGTCACCAAACAATGCTCCAACAAAGTTCTATCAAAATCAATTAGGAATGGATTTGAATAATTAAAAAATTAATAACAAGTTAAAAATACCATAGTTCTTATTAAAATTTCAAAATTTTCTAAAATGAAGTTTATTATTTATCAGACAAAGAGACACTCACTAGACAACAATATGTTCACTCCATACAAGTAATTATATTTTAACATATGTACACATTGTAACTAGTTGGCGAATTAGCTGAAATGCTACAAGTGCCATATTTTGCGTTGTTGCTATTGCACAATAACCTGCTTCTCTCCGAAGCTGAAAGACTATTGCGTGGACAATGGTATGGCGAATAAAGCCTTCAAGGCATAAAAGTTTAACATAAAGAACTCAACAAATTAGTGAAAATTGTAACGCATGCATGTAATGTATAAATTAATGATAACCTCTTCCCGGACCCCTCAGGTCCCAGCAAAATAAATGGCTCGTGTCGATCAGATAACAAGTAAGACCTGAAGGCATTTATAGATCTCTCTGTTTCTGGATTCATGACTATTTGACCAGAAAGTTGATTGCCAGATTCCTCGAGACCACAAATAAAAACACATTTCAAATTTAATGATAGCTGTTCGAATTTTTTTTACTGAAAACAAATTTAAAGCTAACAAAATTTAGTCAAAATGTTTAGTCAAACATTTTTACGAAATAAAAAAAAAATCAATTAACACGACAAACTTCTTTAGCATATTTAACGAGGGATCCTGATTTAGCATCGTACTTGAAATTGAGGATATCATTGGTATCCGGCGGATATTCGCCAGTTATGGAAAATATCTGTTTGGGATGAACTATGTTATCAAGAACCTACACGTTAATTCTAAACTTTATATATTATTTCAAATGCAATTTCTTCTTAACTCATTATAACCATGACCATTATCATTATGATAAGTGCAATAATAATCACCATTATAATCATCATAAGTTTCTCGCCGAACATTCTAATCATCTAACAAATTCATTATCGTTGACAGGCATTATATAGCTACATAACTACAAACACAACTTCGTTCTAATTATTTTTAATAACTGAGCCAACGTAAACATATTTATTTAATCATTATGAATCACTTAACCACGTTTTCACATTATAACATTTGTTATTTACCGTTTTCTAGTTAATCATAATTCAAATTAAATTACATACAAAATAAGCCATCAAGAATCTTCTGAAATATTAAAAGTTGGTCTGAAGTTTTGAGGTTCTCGTATACAACAGATAATAATTGAAAACCATCATGAAATCATTAGATTGTCAATGACACTTATATCATCGTATTTTTCTTCAATTATCGCTAGGTCTGAATCTACGTGTCTTAAACTTAATCCTTCTAAATTTAAATTAATTTGTTTTAATAAATCTAAACACTCTATTACTATTCCTTCTATTATATTACTTGATTCTAAAACGCTTGATGTTTCTCACAAGTTTCGTAGTCTAGGTTTTATCTTTGATTCTAATATGTCTCTTTCTTCTCAGATTAATAGTGTTGCTAGAAGTTCTTGCTTTCATCTACGTAGAATAAAAAACTTTTGCCTTTTCTTGACGATCCTACTCTTCTCCTTCTTGTTACTTCGTTAGTCTTATCTAGGATTGATTATTGTAACTCGCTCTACTATGGTCTTCCTGATTCTACACTCTATTCTTTAAGTAAAGCTTTTAACTCTGCTGCTCGTCTAGTTGCTCGTGCCCCTTTCTTTTCTAATATATCTCCATATCTTGTTCTCTTGCACTGGCTACATAACAAATATAGATTAATTTTTGAAACTTGCACATTTATGTATAATTCTTAATCTAAATTATTTCCTAAGTACTTATCAAATATATTAATTGAGCCTAAACTCCCGGTTTACTATCGTCTTCTTGTTCTCATTTCTTCTTAACTCGTGTTAAACACTCTTGCTAAATCTGCATTTGCTTCTCCTGGCACTTTTCTCTGGAACTCTCTACCTCCTTCTCTGATTACTTCTCCATCAATTACAAAGTTCAGAGCGGATCTCAAGACCCATCTGTTTGCATAATTCATTGAGAAGCGCTGTTAAATATCGCGGAAGTAGCGCTTTATAAACAAATTGATTGATTGATTGATTGATTGATTGATTGATTGATTGATTGATTGATTGATTGATTGATTGATTGATTGATAGATTGTCAACAACACTTATATCATCGTACGGATATTACAAACCTCAGAAGCGAATTTTTTCTTGCACTCATCCGTCAGGTTGCCGCTGAGTCCCGTGAAGAGCTTCGCGATCATGTGCTGCACGCTCTCCACATCTCCATCCAACATCTTCAGTCCATTACACGCTGTGCTTATCAGGCTTTGATTCAAATAAAAATCGCCCTGTGATTCAAGAATGTTCAACGAACTAAACTGTTTGTACAATATTAATTTACAACAAATCACGATTCAATAAAATAATAATTACTCATCAATATTGGTATAATAGATAGATGGGTTTATTTCATTTACTAGTGAAGCTTCTACAATGGTTACGTACAAAACGCTCTTAACTGTTTACTAAATAAAAAAAATGATATCCCTTAAAAAGCAATTATTAATACGTAAAAAATACATTTTATTTTCTACATATTTATATTTTCTACATATTTATTTATTATATAGCATATATTTTGAAAATAAAAGAAATACATTTAATAGGGGTGCTAGTTGTTCTGAACTTTACTTGAATTCGCCGCTTATAAAGAAAAATAAAATCGGTTGTTGAAGGCAACAGTTTCAGAAAATGCATCACATATCTTATAACAATGACAAATTTTCCATAACACCTCATTGAAGAAGCGAGTTAATTACGAGGAGTCAGTACGGTTTGGGAAGAAATATATGTTTGAAACGATAGATTAGAAATATGATGATCTTGATTAACTAATTAAGCTAACTAACTCGTTGAGCTAACAAATTACATTTGTTTAAATTAAAAACATTCCCATTATAATCACTTCTCTTTTAATCCAGTTGAGACACTTGAGGTAATAAGTCTGGACCCACTCCTTCACAGCATCGCCATCTGGGCGATTCCTCAGCCACTTTGATGCAACGGCTTCCATGCCTATGTCACCCTCGCTGACCAGTTGAAGTAATGAGCGAATGAAAATTGTGAAGCGTGTGAACGATAGTTAAGAAATAATATTTAGATAATTAAATAGATTGACAACGGGTTGTAAAAATAGATCAAAAATCAAATAAGCACGCATACCTTAAAAATATCATTCCCATCCTAGAAACAGTAGCAGGAGAAGCAAATCTCAAGTCATGAGTTTCAAACACAAAATTGACATCATTGCCAAACTGGATTCTCTCTCCAGATGGCAACGTGAGCAGATGATTGTCGTCCAAAACGGAGTTAAGTGATTCAATCCACTCCGGATCGATGTCGCCATCACACACTATCCAGGATGAAGTGTTTTTCGATTCCTTTATGACTTGTCTGGAAAAATTCGTCAGCACTCCGTCTACCCATTCCCGCGTATCGCTATCAATTTGACCGAGTAGCTAGTGATTAAGATCGATACGATAGTTTTTAACGAAATAAAAATATTTGCTGATATTTACGGTACAATTACAATGGAACATGACTGGAGCAGTTTCAATAAAATACGGATACTATCTGAAAAATTCAATCAACCCAGATAAAAATACCTAAAGAATAAAATTATGTAAAAGCGTATCATAAAATATTTTCACATGAAACCTATAGACCTGAGACTTAGGCATAGCTTTGGGATTCAAAACGTGCAGTTTAATTTGGAGACCCATTTTCATGAGGGCCCCCCTCAAGTTCCTCCACAGGGTCGACTTGCCTGACCTGCTGGGCCCAACAATCAAAATGCCCATGCGTTGCTTCAACTGCTCATACAGCTCTATGGATTTCACTATCTAAAAATGTATCAAAGAACATAAAAAATCATTTAAACAAGAACATAACAAATTCAAATTTATCGATATCAATGAGCTTAAAATTTGCTATAAATCGAAACCTTTTAGACGACAAAAATAAATTTTCAGAAAATTACGTTTTAATGCAGAATTTCTTTAAAAAAAAATTTCAAAAAAATTTAATCATTTAAACAAGAACATAACAAATTCAAATTTATTGATATCAATAAGCTTAAAATTTGCTATAAATCGAAACCTTTTAGACGACAAAAATAAATTTTCAGCAAATTACGTTTTAATGCAGAATTTCTTCAAAAAAAAATTTCAAAAAAATTTCCAAATTAAAAAAGTGACGTTTGAACCTGCGATTTGATGACGTCATATTGATTTTCCTCATACACCTCCTTCAGCATCTTTTCCAACTCTTCATTCTGCACATCTTTAAAGTCAACGTTAAGGAAGACATCCTTGATGAGCAGTTGGAACTGCAGACGATCAGACGAAGTCAATTTGGAAAGTGTGTTCATCTGCAGAGCTTGGATGACCAGCTGAGACTCCAGCCCTTCTTCTGAAATGTCTTTTTCTTAAATATCAGTAAGGTTATCAATAATTTATTTCAAAAACAAAATTGGCAAATTAAGTTTAGTGAGACGTTATGCTAAGATAACAAAAACACCATTAGCCAACGAAAATAACGGTAAGGTCGGTTTCACCCAAAATTGTTGAACCTAAATCCAAGTGATTGAGAAGAAATATAAATCTTGTCACTCAGAAAATACAGTTAAACGAAGGCATGTAGAAATAATGCGTAAAAATAGGAGAAATGCTGAAAGGCTTACTAACAATAAGAGGCAGTTGAAAAATGGAAAACACAACATTTGAATACGAATAATTTAAAATTTCCTAAACAGTAACAAATAATTGTGAATCAAAATTTTTTTATAATCTCGTTTAAAAAATTAGAATCTGACAGACGCAAAAACTGTTACAGCATCAAGGAATAGTATAAAATGATTACGAAAAAAAAATAAATAACGGAGAAAAAACTTTTAAGCTTGAAATTTATGGAAAATAAAGTAATGGTTTAAAAAGGCAAATAAATAAAATAATTTATTAATGGACTAGTTAATGACTCGTCAAAATATCAAAATTTCAGATAAAAATATGAAAAACATAAGAATAAGCAATTAGATAACACTCGGTTACATAACGGCAAGAAGGATCAAATTTATCAAGATTTAAATCTTCGAATCTGCGATGCAGTCACATAAAATAAAACGTGGTTAAACAAACCCTTTTCTTCATTTGATTTAATTTGCGATTGTCTCAACAGTGAGCCGGAACTCTTGAGAACACTTTTAATTGACCTCAAGCCCCAGTCATAATGCTGCTGTTGAGTCAAGAGTTTCCTGCAAGAGCAAAAATTACTCAACTAGCTACAGAATGAATGACTTGAAATTAACTATGCAAATAATAATTTTGTTCTGCTGCTTTACAATCCGTCAGTTTGTGCGAGTTCGCAATCAAGATATCAAACACAATCTATTAGTTAGGTATAATGTTTAAACGAATTAAAAAGTCAAATCAATCTGGAATTAATTCAATTCTCAAACATAAAAACCTGCTCAAATCAAAAACAGCAACCAGCTTCTTTCCAATAGCTTTTCCGTTTTTGAAGCCTTCCGAGTATAAAATGACTTCTGCAATCAGTTCATTGTCCGGTTGAGACATAGACACTGGTCTGAAAATGTGACAATCAATATTGATGTTTCACTTCACTCGAATTAAATGTAGCAACCAAAATTTGAAAGGAAAGGCATTTATATAAGAGAACGAAACGCTTTTGTTATAAATCTACCTTTGGTCGTCCCCAATACACATGAAATGCAATAAGCAAACGGAAAAATTGAAAAAGGAACCTGAAAAGTTGCTTCAAGTTGTCAGGCAACTTTTGTCTGCCTCCGTAGCCTTTCCCCGCGGGGTTCATTGTTATGAAGATGCCAGAGTTCAAGTTAACTTTCACCTTTTCGTTATGTTATAAATTATACAAATATGCCAAAGATATATCAGGTTTGTATTGAATTATACCAATGGGATGCCAGAACTATTACCTATCCCCAAGGCATTGACCAACACTGAAACAAATGCACGTACGCATGTACTTACATCTATCAATAATTATCTTTGATGGTTTGATTTTTATTTATGACGTTGCTTGTATAATCAGTTTTTAATTTGGAGAGTGCTTGTGAGAACATGTTTAACGGGTGCTTTAAAATTTTTTAATTGGCTTTGAATTGATTTTTGATTTTGTTTATGTAGAGCTTAAATTCCGAGTTTAGATACTACAGACCTATGACTCAATACTTAATACAATGCTCTATATGGAACGATGAATGAAACATAAGATTAATTAATATTAACTGTCCTCACTGTTTTGTCAAGTAGTTGAAGAGTGCTTGCTTGATTCTTGATGGCATTCTGTATAACTTGTATCTGCATTGATACTGCGGACAAAACCGCTTCGTCGAGTCTGTTGAATTCGTCAAAACATCCCCAGGCGCCGCACTGAACCAAACCGATGAATATCCGACCCATTGATTTCACATCTATGCCCTGTTTTATAATTATAGATTTTTATTATAATATTTTTTGAATTCAGGTTTTAAAACTGGAGTGTTTGTTCACTGAACAGTCTTCATTACTTTTTATCATTGTGCAACGTATACCATAAAACTACAACCATTAACATTTTATCTACCAAACTGAAAAACTATGAAAAAATTACTATGAAAAAATAAATTAAAATTAAAAATTTAATAATTGAAATTAAATATTTATTTTATATTTATCCAAAATCTTCAAAATTTTTATGAATACTATAGAAGAAAACTGACAAACCTCATCGCAGTTGAAAACAAGAACCTGCCTTCCAAACAATCCTCCCAACGCCTTCACCGATTCCGTCTTCCCAGTTCCAGCTGGTCCATATGGGTTGCCGCCCAATCCATAAGAAAGTGCTAACGACAACAACAACAACAATTATGTACAACAATGCGTAATAAATTGAAATAAATTTTTTATCATAAGCATAACAGCTTGAGTTATATAAACATGAAAAAATTATGATTTTAATTTGTAAATAAAGTAATTTGTATATTTAAACACCATTTTTGGCAAATAATAATAGATTGCCTGATCTAAATAATGATATTGCTGAAAGATAATACCCCGCAGTCACATCACAATGATAACTTGAGACGCCCGTTCTTAAACCTTTCAGTCAGTTAAAATTAAAACGCATAAAAGCAGTTAAAAAGAATTCAAATAGAAATATTAAAATTAACTGTTAACAAAAAATTATTCAACAATAAAATGCCTAACCTTGAGTAAGAGTGAGATAGCATTTATCAGTGAGTGGTGTGTGCACAAGTTTTGGAGCATTGCCCTGATATTCATAAGTATAATCAAACGTGTGTCTCATCTCTGGATCGCCCATCTTTATCTTACACGTCTGCTCGTTCGTGTTGTAAAATCTTCAAAATAAATTTATTCAGAAATTGTCAGAATCATCAGATTATAAGATAACAAGTCAAGTTACGATGGAAAAAATTCAAATGTGACGATTTTACACGTCTGCTCGTTCGTGTTGTAAAATCTTCAAAATAAATTTATTCAGAAATTGTCAGAATCATCAGAATATAAGATAACAAGTCAAGTTACGAAGGAAAAAAAATTCAAATGTGACGATTTTTCTACAATTTTGCATTGAAATAATGTTAGCTATCATCTTTAAACTTAAAAAATTGATTTGCATTTAATTCATTTGCAAAGCCTTTGTCTATTGAATATGTAGATAGATATTTTACAGCTGAGATCTTTATGTTCAAAAATCTGAGAAATTTACAAAAAGCTGGTACAAATTAATATGTAAGTTCACCAGCTAACGACATCCAACTAACCTGAGTTGTTTCTGCCAGAACCAATCCTGTACGTACTTGACCCCTCTGCTCTCCAGCATGTCCACGACCTCGATGTGGTGGATTGTATCAAAAATCAAGTCCTTCAGCTTCAAACCCACCGACTCTTTTATCAATTGAAATTTTTGATTGGATGGAAATTAACAAAAATTACCATAAGAAAATTGTTAAAATTAATAATATTTAAAAAATGTAACTAGCTCAAAATGACCACAATATTATAATTTTAAGAGAAGACAAAATTACTATTTCCGCTTTTGTCGTTTTTCAAATCAGCATTGACAGATGTGTAGTAGTTGAGTTGTTGTTTCAGTTCGTCGTGCAAGCCGTGCAGGTCCTGCTTGGAGATGGCATTCTCACACTTCTGCGTGAAGACTATGCAGCCGGTCACACACAGGACCTACGTTTAAATGTCAGTCTTTCAAATCAATGCGATTAGTCGACAGAACTTTTCGTATGCTGATAGTTAGAATTCACGCATTCAAGACAATTTTACAGACAGCTTTATTATTTGCGTTAGAATAGACAAAATTTTCATAGTTTAATAATTTGCAACAGAACAAAAAACTGATTTCTGACACAAAGATTGCTTGAATTTTAAATTTAAACGTTGAAAAATTATGATGCACAAAATAATGCAGAAATCAAATTCTTCTTTTGTAATCTTTGGTCTCATTTTAATGATTGTTCTCTCAACTTTAATTTTTTTATGCGAATAAAAAAAATTTGTTATTCGTCTGTTAAGCTAACCAAATAAATTTAAAAAAGGCATGCTTTTAATTTAAATTTAATTTATTCATTCAAACAAAACTAAATTCGGTTCGGAGACTAAATAAGATCTTGTGCTGGCCAGCTTCGACAAATGAGACAAAACAGCAAATAAACAGAACATTAAAAACAGCAGGCATGGCAAAGAGCCACCTTTCATTTCTTTTACGATGCGTATTTTACAACAAATTGCTGTTTTTCTAGGCAGAAAAGTGCTTTGTTTTTGTTTTAATGTCATTAGTTTTTAATTTACCTATTAAACTATCGAATAAAAATATATTAACAATTTAATAATATCCGCAAAACTTCCACTAGTAAAAAATCGACACTAATTAATTGAATGAAGAACGCTTGCTGAATATCGCAGAAGTAAAGTTCAATTAGTTCAGTAGTTGAATGGTTGATGTCAACCACGCAGTTAACAGGGCGGTAGCAGGTGAGGAATTAATTGTCAATATTCAACTGCAAAAATAAACACTTATATAAAAGCCGAAGCGAAGTGATGAGACCTGGGCAGGAAATTTATTGGAATCGAGACCCTTGCTGGAGCTGCTGAGGCAACTGCTGATCAGCTCTTTCAACGTGTTCTTCATTTCTTTCGTCAGAGAATTCAACCAAACCTTGTTCAAATTTAACTCAATGAACAACAAAGTTATTTTCAAAATCAGAATTACCAAAATTAAATATTTAACAACAGCAATGTATCTTATGATAGTTTTAAAAACATAAAAAAGTATCACAGGATAATAGCTCTCACTTCGACGTCACTTTCAACCTGAACCTCCCTGGAAAGACGTACCACTTCTTCGTGTTGTGAAATCATCGATCGTATTCGCTTGTTGCCCTGTTTATTCTCATCATCGCCATCCAACTCAACACTATTTATACCTTTCACAAATTGTATTCAAAACGTGAACAATTGTTCAAAACTAAATATTAGATTGAAAAAATCTGCATTAGGTACCTGAAAATAATTTTTTCAAATGATTTTGAATAACGGAAGGATTGACTGATTGACCGAGGATTTCAAGAAGATCATCGTCACCAATGAAATAAAATCGAGGGAAGGATAATCTCTTGCTCTGAAAATAATCAAATAATAAATAAATGTGTACGTAAGCAGAGGAAGTTTGCTTTATAGCGTAACAGGGCTAGTGACAGTTTGTGTGTGCGTGTATATATAATATATATATATATATATATATATATATATATATATATACACATGTGAATATACGATGTTATTGAAACCCTGCAAGGTATTTTAAAGTTAATAAAAAAAATTTCAATTCTAACCTCCAAATAATCATTCAACGTTTTTTGGCACCTCTGAAGTTGATCTAACAGGTTGACAAGTGAGGTCTTCAAACCTATCTTGAACAGAAGGGACATTACTTTCGGATCTCTTTTTATGTCCATCATGTATTTTCTGATAGGACAGATATATAATATATCAAGTCAGTCTTACACCAAAGTTATATATATGCATTATTAATTGAAAACTTAACAACGCCAACAGAATATAAGTTTGAAACATTTTGAATAAGTCAGGTGTCTAATTTTCGCGTTCACTAATAATTTATGGTAGAAAGAAGCCTGCAGTTTCGTGCTCCAATATTTTCAGATGGATGTGAACATTTTTTAGAAATGTTTGCTGGAAGAAAAGAGAATATATTACATGAGTTCGAATATTTGTTCAGTTTCATATAAAAAAAACCCAGAAAATTTAAAAAATAGATATAACTATTTTCACAAACAAGTTGCACTCAATGACGTTTGCAAAAATCATTCAACTCCTCTCCGATAACTTTGTTACTATTCTATAAATAAGATTGCGATAAACCTAACTCTTTTAATTAAAAGTACAAACAATTTTATTACATAATAAAATCACAATAAAACAATGCAATGAATAAACGAGCGAACGCACTTGAACTCATCATCAACTTTTTTGAATCTGCCTTCTTCCTTCTTGAGGGCACCTTGAACAAAAACAGGCTCCAAATAAATCCATTTGCGCTGAATTTGATTGAGATTGTGCAAAATTGAATCCAAATCAGATAATCGAGTTTCCCAGAGTGTGACTTTGTCTTGAAAGTATTTGAAATGGGACGAATTTTTCAGAGACTGAACCAGCGATTGGTGTTCACCAATCTGTCGATGGAAACCGAATCATATTTGTTGACGCCATTTATTTACAAACTTATAAATATTTATCTCTGTATAACATTGCACTATTACATGCAACAACCAACACAGATACTGATCAAAAGTTTGCAAAGTTTACAGTAAACGTAAATTAAAATTCTAACATGTTTGCAACATTAACAAAGCACCTTATTGAAGAGATCCTTCCAATCTTTAACTAGACTCAACTTTGCATTGTCCTGTGTGAGGGTCAGTGTGGCCCCAGAACCCCAGCCCTCCAGTTCCCTTAGAGCATCCCTTATCACAACTTCACTCTGAGCCTTCCCATTCAACTCCTTTGTAACGATTATGGAAAGCATGAATAATAAAAAATATGTTGAAAACAACATTCTTGCAAATCAAAATTAGGTCTGCAAATTCAAATATTTCAATTTTAAATAAATCTAGTGAAAATGTTCAAACAGGCTGACCAATAGTTAAAAATCATAAAAGTTTATCAAAATGGAAAAAACATAAAAAATATTAAGGCTAACAAAGTGTAATATACTTTAATTATAACGATATAAAGTGTATGAGACTGAAACGAACTTTAATTTCGTCGACACGAGCCATTATTTCGTGACCGTGTTTCAGCACGTCACCGAATGTAACATCATTAACGTTCAACTTTTCATAGTTCGGCATGCCCATCAAAGCATAGAGTTCTGTCCAGTTCTCTTGTGAGAATGCGTCGCCTCGCACCCATTTCAATATAGGCATCAGCTCCTGCATATGATTGCAAGTCGTCATTATTTTGAATGATCTATGACAATGATCATTGAATATGTAATATATATTAAGTTAATATCTTGTGATAAGTCATCATACAATGTAATATAACTATCATGACATCATTACTTTTTATTTATTTAATAATTATTTTTATAACTACAATGAATATCCAGAGACCTTGTTGAAATGTATTTCTTTCAAGACATCCTGAACAAATGAGGACCTTGATCCCTCTGCCAACTTTCCAACCCATTGATCCAAAAATGCGTCAAATGAAAAATATTTCGTCCTGTCAATAAAGAGGTCAGTGAATGATTGTTATGCCACTACCGTTTATTACGTTTAAAATATTTATCAAGTTTTTATCGTCGAGCCTTTTGAAACATTAGAAACACCATTCTACTTATGTTGAAGGTTGACGCCAAAAATAATATTTAACATAAAAGCTAAAAAAGTCAAAGGTCTTATATGTTTTATAATCTGGCGAAATATATTCATTGCTCAATTTGTAAGCACTACAAAATGAAGATAAAGGAAAAATTGTATGCATACTGTTATAACCGCCGGAATAATCAAATTATGCTATATTATTTGTTATCCTAATTATTGTTATCTTTGCTATATTTGTAATCTTTGATTGTAAAGGATCGTAAAAAGAAGCGAGGTTTGAAGCGAAGTCGTAAATTTGATTTATGCAGTTACTTGAATTTGTTTATTGTTCCTATTACTGTTGGCATTCAAATAAACGTTCAACTAAGTTTGCGTTTGAAACAGTTGTGCTTATCTATCGGAAATCTAAAACCTACGGAATAACGAACACTTTACGATCGTTTGAAGCTACAACACTAGTGTTGGAAATAAAAAGATCATTGAAGTTATAACATTGGTGTTTGTAGCAACGAGCGTCAAGGGTTACAATAATGTGAACCGACAAAAGTTATACCGACAAATCCTCGATGAACAAATTGTTATAATTGTTATAATTATAATGTTATAATAATGCCAACAGACTAGATATTAACGTCTTGAATGAAATTAAAAATGTATGATTTTTCCTAGAATTATCGATACCGACGAACTCAAATGTTATTTCGAAAGGAGCAGAAGAGATGCAAGTATAAAGATCTAGAAATCGACATTTCACGAACGTGGAACGTTAGTACAGAGTAACACCAATAGTTGTAGGAGCTTTAGAAATTTTTGATGATGGGACAATAAAAAATCTTGAAATGATAAAAAGCCAAAAATAGAAGAAACTCGGACGATTGCTCTGCTTGGAACGGCGCATATCCTTAGAAAGTTTCTAGGATGATATCCTTTGGACTCAGATGGCCCTGGAGTCATCTGTAGACCGGCTTAGACCGTGATTAACGAACAAAAAATAATAATATTAAAAATAATAATAATAGTAATAATAATGATTTTTGTTGTGATACCAGCAAGAAATCAGTGGAAAATTACACTAAAATAATAATAATAAAGTTAACATCGACAATATATACTAATGATAAAATTCAAAATAAAAATGATTGCAACAACAAAAAAATAAATAATAAAAAAGTTAATTATATTATAAAATGTAATAGTAATACTTCACCGCTAACCACAACGACCGTCAATGGTACCACGTTACAAGCAAAACACAACGAACAACAAATTAATACAGACACACCTGTATGCAATCCAAATTTCTTCTTGGTACTTGGAGCATTCGGTTTGAAACTGCATCAGAATATCAATCACCTTTACCATGTCATCCATATCTTTTTCTATCAGCTGATAGTTCTTAAGATTCGGAGGTTCAATGTCGAACAGCTTGCTCTCATTTCTGTGAAATCATTTGAAAAGGTTATTTAGTAGAAATAAAAATTAAAAAGAAACTTAAACGATCGTCAAAAATAATTGAGCACAAATTGGAATGAAGTCTCCAAGCGTGAAAGAAAATAAAATCTCAACTAACATTAACGTGGTCTTCTTGCTTTTCAACTCTTCAAATTCCATGGACATCTCCTTCAAGATGTTGATATTTTCAAGAGAACCTGTATATTTATCGCCTCCCTTCTTTCCGTCACCCAGGTTCATGTGCGCCCACTTCTTAACGTATTTGTTGACTTCCTCCTCGAACTCCTTACACCGGAATGATGAATTGCTCCTCATCACTTCCATCTAACAAATTAAAATCATTCGAAATCTAACTTGTTATAAACATGATATGAAACTTGAACAAAATGTTACATAAAGTGTTTATAAATTTAATTCCAGGTATTATTGTTTCTAAAAACAAGCACGAAAAAGTTTCATTTAACTTTGACAAATTTTGATCAATATCAACATCTGGAACGAGTTTTATCTTAGATATATAGAGAATAAAAGTTGATAAATAAAACCAAGCCAAAATGATCGTAGTTGAATAAGAAATATCAATCCCGATTGTTCAAGGACGACAAAGAAATATTTCATCAAGTGATTCGAAAAATTTTAAGAAACTTGGTGAAAAATTTTACATGAAATTATGTTAAAATGAAACGTTCTATCGTGAAGTATTTATTCAATTGGAAAACTTTTGTAAAAATTTAAGGTAAGAGGGATACAAAATATATAGAAGGTTCCTCACATTAACAAATTTTCAAGCGGTACAATTGAATCGAATAGCAACGAAAATTGTGGCAACTCAGTTGATCATCGTTTGAAAATGATCTCATGACCAACTTAAACGCTGAAACGATATTCTAAAATAAAACAACTGCATTTTATCCATTTTAACGTATAACACACATTGGCTCACATTTCCTACTTATTACCAAATCAAATCCTGTGCTAATCCATCCTGAGTAATTCATCATATCAAAATTTTTTATCCAAAACACCATTACCCATCATCATTGTCATCACAATCACTATCCCCACCATTATCATCATCTTCACACCTCATCTTTCAATTTTTCTCTGTGACTCTTGAGCATGAGTTCGAATTTGTTCCATTTCTGTCTGATGTCGTCCAATCCTTCGTGTCCACTGCCTACCAAGCTCATGAGCAGACGATTCTTCTGAGATATCAACTCAAACGTCTCCTGGGTCTGCAGTTCCAATAGCAGCAAACATCGTATATCAAAATAAGAAATATATAACGATTACGCGCTGATTATTTATATCAAGCTTAAAAAAAGCATGCAGTTAATCTTTAATATAATCATTATTGAAAACTTAAAAAGAAATATTTCTATTCCGTGGATAACCTTATGGGTGTCATTGATGATAGCAAGATGTTTGGCGTTGATGTTGTTGATGTCATCGAGTGAGCGAGGAACCAGATTGAACGTCGCAGTGCTCTCCACTATGAAGTTATCAATTTTGTTGATGTCCACAAGTAGAGACTTCTTCAAGGTAACCAACAGGGCTTCAAACAAGTGCTGGAGCTGATCTTCAATGTTGATCTTCAGTGGTATCAAGCTGATGGTGATGCTCGAAACTTTAATCTCACTGCAAATGTCGTGTCGTCATTCAACTTTGGGATTCGCTCATGAAATCAGGTTTTCAGAATTATTTTGAAATACAAAGAGCTATTGTCTGTTAAGTGTTATATTCACATGTTGTATCAATTGTTGCAATGAATCTGCTTAATTGATTTGGTCTTAGTTCTTTTTGTTGTCTATATCTCTACTCTTGTCATTTGTTAACATTGCGAAACAGAAACAAGCAAATGTAATTGTTGAATTGTTGTATATTATTATATAGAATTTAACTTTTAAAAACACAAAAAAAGCAAACTTTGGTATTTGATCGACTTCTTTACTTTTCGTTTTTATCATTTTAAAGTTAAACTCCCATTCATCAACGTCGTGCAGCGTTGAAGTTATCAGCTCCTCTAAATTCATCGTTCCCAACACAACCCAAGGCTAAAATGATACAAATTATAATCAACCATTTGCATGGGGTCATCGTAAAAAGCTGTTTGAAAACTTATTAACAACAAATGAACAAGTAGAAAGCAATAATTATAGAAAAACATGAAAATAAATCAGCAACATTATATTGTTCTTTAATGTCGAGAAGTTGTTTGAATAGTCTGTTGGCCTGGTGGAAACACCTGAACATGACCTGTGGGTTTTTGTCAGTGAGGGCGACAAATATCGTTTCAACTGTCCCATCACCAACTCCTTTTTGATGAAAATTTTTATAACTTGAATGTAACATTTTACCAATATTATAAATTAATTGATAATCGATCGACAAATAAATTCTTTCAAACGTTAAAAGACGTACAACACCTTTAAAAAGTGTCGGTATGCTGCAGAATTTTCGGATCTCCCTAAAATATTTGGCCTGTATCTCTTCGTAAGATGGTCGATACGCGATCTGCTGGCCACTGTTAGTTCGTTGGTTTATTGGAATATTAACTGTTCGAACATTTTGTCAATAAATCTAGAAATCTTTATTATATCTATATATAAAACAGATCAGAAATGCATGCAGTCAATAAAAAATATACGATTATTTCAAACAAACCAAACACTTGAATGAAATTAACAAAAATAACTGATTGAAGAAATTATAAAACAGTTCACCTAAAAACAAGTTCCACCTTCATCTCGGGCATGTTGTCGTTGAATGCGATGAGTCCCTTGTAGTACTGGTGCTCGAGGGCCTTGTACAGCTGAACATTCCAGTGGTGCTTCCACAATTTCATATTCTCTGCTTTGAAACCCTGCCAAATGTAAAGATGATGGTTAACATTTTTGCGGGCATCAATATTATCCGCTTGATTATCTGTAAACAAAAATAAATTTATTTGTGAATAAAACTTGTAATTAGTTATCTTTATAACGTTAATTGTGTATTGTTTTGTGTGTATGCATTATGTATGTGTGCTTTGCATGCAACAAAACAAAACTTGTGTGCCAAAATGCAAAAACATATTTGTGAATAAGTCATTAAAGTTTTAATATTCACAAATTAGAAAATTGTTTTTTTAATTTAATAATTATACAGCACCTAAATCAGAAATTCAATAGAAAGGAATCATGCTGAATGAATAAAACCTGGTTGATGAGTTCATTCATGACCCTTCTAATCTCCACCAGTTCACTTTTCCAGGTTGACAACTTCTTCAACATGTCTGTGTCCATCAAGTTGAGAACCTCAAATGTTATTTATTTATTTATTTATTTATTCAACTATGATATGATACAAGTTCTCTGTGTGAATCAAACTTTAAAAAAACATTCAAGATGAAGTTATAAAAAACACAACATATTGAAATTCATAACAGCTGGTTAATTTTAACAAAAGCGATCTCTTTATTATAAGCACTGTTATGCAAATCAAGAAATCATATATCATCAGCAAACAACCTTGTTGTGAATGACTTCATGACATTTTCTCAGACGTCTGAAGAATATTTGGAAGAAGTATTATTATACTTAATGATTCAGATAGAAATATTCAAAGTTTATTATAGTGCCGACCTAATGTTGCCCATGAATGTGTCGGATGCCTTCTCCAACTTGGACACGTATTCTTCAAGTTCTTTTGGGTTGTTCCACGATATGCCATCTTTATAAATTCAACGTTTCGTTATCAACACTAACTGACATTATAAGCCCTATAAAAAACACATTTTGAAAAAATTTGAAGATGCCTCAGTAGCCACCTGAGCCGTCTTTGAACTTGGTGACGAGGTTTTCAAATGCTACAGCTGATTCAAGCATCATCGGTTGTTGGCATGGAATTATTTGCTGGTCTACGGTGTTGTAGAAGTGTGCTATCTACAATGAATGGGACAAAAATCAAAATGAGAATTTCTAAGCCATTTGAACTATTTTGGATCATTACATTTTAAACAACATAAGAACTATTTAACATATTTTGAACATTCAATTTCTAAACGATTCTGCTGAAACAATAAAATTGGCAAACCTGTTTAAGTTTGATGCCATATTTTCGAAACTCTTCCCCTTCTTTCAGATGATTTTGAATGTTTTTAGGCATGATGTATCCGAGTGAAGACATGACAGTTGCATCCCGAAGCAGCATGATCAGCCGGTCTCCAAACATCACTTCCAACTTTCCATTCTTGGAATTCAGCTGAAGTAACTGCCCTTTCATCTTCAAACTGGAATAAAAATCATTTTAACGTTTATTTAACAATTTAACAACAACAACAACAACAATAATAATAATAATTGAAATATATTTTAATTTTTTCACTCGCCAAAATGAGAAATCAAATAATAAAAATATGTGTCTAATGAAATGAATTATTATAAAGAAATGTATTTAACATGTAAGATTCTCAATGCTGGATGGCAATGACACGCGCATAGGAGTAAGAATTATATATAATTAGCCATATGCATTGTTTCTGTCACATAACTACTATATCACGAGCTAATAATAATAAAAATAAAAAGTCACACCAGCATCCAAATTTAAAGAATTAATTTCAGTAAAATGTCACAAAAATGCTCGCGGATGTTTATAAATGAAGTGAAAACAGAACATTAAAGTTAAAACGATGAATGTACTGTACAACTTTCCATCAAAGAACTGTTGGGAGTCTCTGGACCATTCTTGGAAGAGGTCTTGCTTGAGAACAACCACATCTTCCAGGCACGAAGTTGCTTGCTTGCTCAGCTTGTTGTATCCAGTCATATCCTTCATCAACATCTCACTAAGCGTCATTACGGATTCAATCTTTAGTGATTTAATCATTTTAAAATCATTATTGAATTATCATTAGAACTAAACTAATGTAATCAGATTTTTTCCTAAATAAACGATTAAAGTGTCTATGTTTTTAACGAAAATAATTCAACCCCTAAGTAGCATACGTTTTTTTCGACAAGTTGATACTCCAGAAGTTTGTTGACGGTGACAGAATAGTCCATAGTGGAGTGAACCACCTTATCCCTCCTTGCCATTTCCATGTTGTTCCTCTGCTGCTCCACGTACAGCAACAACTGACTGATCATTTTCTCTCTTCAAACGAATCACATTAAATCAGCCAATACTATTCATTAGTATAAAATATCGTTTACTGGATTTTAAACGAATAATAAAAAATTAATAAGGTGTGAAATTCTGAAGAAGTACTTTTCAAACTGCATGTTGACGCTGACATTCGGTCGAGAGAGGAGATCTATGTACTTGTCCATCTCTCTCACAAGTTGCTGATGATTGCTTTCAAGGCCATTCATCTTCTCTTTCAATTTCTGACTGACAAATTTTTCAACGACTTGAAAATCTTCATTGAACTGATCGACAGCACGTTTCCAAGTACTGGACGCCATTGAAGCTGGTTTTGTAGCGTTCACAGTTTTGAAATTGGCAAAGAGGTTATTTAATTTTAAATCTTTAATTTCAGATTTCGTTAGCAGCATTGATGCTTCTTCAACTGTTTTACGTAATTTCAACACCTGCAGTGTTTCAAAATTGATCGTTTATTTTGAATTTTAATAAGTTTTTTTCATTCAATTTAAATGCTGACCTTTGCTTTATGAAAATCTTAATAATTTAACAATTGTTTATTTTGAACAAGTTCCTCGCACAATTTTTATGATAATAATGAAAATTTCAAAAATTGTCAGTTATCAAGTATCTGTTCTTACAAAAAATCATTTCAACCGTTGTTGAATTTTTAATAAAACTCATTTAAGAAAAGGTTGAGGCTTTCTAATTTCCAATAATATAATTGACCAATCATGTTCTCAAATTAAAATGATTAAAGTAAAAATTCGAACCAATGGAAGGAAATTATATGCAAATAATTATACTTCTTTGAGCTGCTCCTCATACAATGTGGCATTCTAGCTTGCAATTATATTATAAGGCAGTCTTGTTCTAAATTTAAAATGATTTAATTTAAAAATTTGAAAAATACTTCTTTGAGCTGTTCTTCATACAACGTGAGTGTGTTGGGTACCTCTACTGTCCCTTTCCATGGATGGGTGGAATAATTTTTCCAGTATTGTTTTGTAAGGAGCTCGCAAGTTTTTATCCAGTTGCGACACACTTCAATTGCTTTGCTAAGGGAGTCTGTGACAAGTGAAACATCACCAAGCCACATGTCCTGTTTTGATAAGCTCTTTTGGATGCAAACTTGCATGTCCTGACCTTATATGCAGATAACAAAACATACAACTTTTTTTAACTATTTTAATCTAATCATTAAAAATATATATATATAATCGAAATATATATACAAAAAATTTCTGTTTATAATTTTATATAATATTAAATGCAACAAAAAGCTTGAAAAGTTTTCATAAGAAGGATCCTTGACTGACCGACTCCTTGCAGCATGTTCCTCATCCTCTCCTCCGTGTACATGTCCCCGTCAACCACCCTCCACGCATCATCCAACACGTCTCGAACGACTTCCTCCACTTCAAGCACTTCATCGAGATCCACACCAGACTCCAAATTCTCATATGCGTCTGATACTTGGGTGAACAGGTCTCTGAAGACCTGGATTGTTAATTTGATTGCAGAGTATAAATGATCGTCACTACAAAACTATTAAAATAAGCTATCCAGAATTAATATTGTGCAAAAAATATTTTAATGATGGTTGAAAGCCGAATCTAACTTTTGATTGTTTAGAATTCCTGGACTCCCAAAATATGATCTCGTTTTTAATTGTTGCCATTGCTAAAAACGTATTTTCAAAAAGAAAAAATTAAAAGATGTTTACCATTACACATATCACTTTAATTATTTCGTAATAGTGAGTAATTCGAATTTGGATAAAAAAAGCAACAAACACAATATAATTTCCACCTTTCTTATTTTTAGAACCATCGTTGGCAAAGTCTCCTGCTCCATTGGCATCTTCTGACAATGACTGAATATCGGCCAGTAGCAGCTGAATTTGATCACTCAATTCTGAACTGTTTTGTGATATGAGAGGTGCATAAACCTGCTTCAGTGCATTGTAGACTGCATTGATTGTTCCACCCATCAAGGAAAGAATGAAGACGACATTTTGAACGTTATCATCTGTTATTTCTGTTTGTTTTGTTTTGCAAAACACTAATGATTTTGAATCCTGGTAGTCAGTTAATGACTTTACCTTGGAAGGAAATATTTTATTAAAATAAAATCTTTTCAATTTACAATTCAATTACATTCTTATAATCGCTATTATTAACATGTTATTATTATGATGCTGCTTCCCTAGCATACCACATTAATATTCATGTTTTTCTCTGAAAGGATTCAAAAAATGAACAAAAAGCATGCATGTCTGTTTATTTACAGAGCCACATATAAATAAACAAGCATGCTGTTATCAATATTATAAATAGCATACAATTACCAGCTGTCTAGCAGTTATAAAATTTAAACTTTGGTGTTATTGAAGAAAATGTAGAAAACATTTTCAAAATTTATTTTATGTACATGGAAAAGTGAAATTAATGTTTTGAAACCTAAACTCTTCACTCTAACTCTAACCTATTACCTAACTCTGTTGTTATTTCCAAAACAAAATTTAAAAAACAATTTTATCAATAAAAATTGAAATTTTAAACTGAATGTATTGCTGAACTGTAATAACAAACATATTGTGTCAATAAATATATAAATATACATGTACATTTATTAATATTTACGTCACACACACACACCACACACACACGCACACAAACGGACACACACATGCACACACAGCCATGCTTAAATTAAATTAAATGTACTAGCACTGGCCAATGTATCTGATAACTATTTATCTGATAACAGATAACTATTTTCACCCATACTTCTTACTCAATTTTTTAAATTAAAATTTAATTTAAAAAATGAATAAGAAGTAATTAATACAATATTTGAATATTACAATACAGCCGAAAACACACACAAACACTTGACTCCAGAATTTTAATGTGGTAAGCTTAGGAGACAGTACCAAAATTATTTCACTAAAATTATAATTAATAATAAAAATAATCCTTACATACATTATTTTTAAAAACTAGTCTCTTGCCATCTTCGATAATGAGCAGCGTTAAACACTTCCTATCGCTGAGGAACACAGCCAACGCTTTCTCGTCCTCATAGTTGGATACCAACTTCTCAAATGAATAAGAAACAAAAATTTTATTAGCGATTTGAAAGATGTAATCGTTTTTCGGACTGGGAGACATGAATGCTAAATTTTTTAGTTACATCGTACAACGATAAAACAATGCAGGCTGTCGATTCCCCTCACAACCGCCCGTCTCCAATACAAACAATAGAAAGTAGAAATTTTTTTATCATTGTGATTATTTTATCTTGGGTTGAATAATTATGTAATATAACAAGATGAATTGTTACACACTGTTATATAATATGTAAATGATGTTATTATATTAACGTTTAAGTTTTTTATATGTGATTAATCTTAATATTACATGCGTGATGTAATGACAAATTATATTTCTCAACATTATAAGTCTACAAAGTTTTATTATAAAAATGAAAATGTTTTTGTAACATTTTTATTCTTCTTCTCGTTCTTTATTCTTTTTCTCGTGCAACCATCGACCTCCACAAAAACCGATCTTTAACACTTTGTAGAAGTTGAAATGTAGTGATATTCAACAAGTGACACAATGACTTCACAAATGTTATTCATTGTTGACCGCGATCTCTTTTCTCTGCAACCTTTCCAGTAGTTATTAGATTTTCCATTCTTTCCTTCCGCATGATGTGACCAAACAAACAATTTTAACGGCCCCGTCGGGTTACCTGTATTGATTTCCTCTTTTCATAACCGGACTGTTTTATTATATCATCATTCGAAGTATGAAGATGTATTAAACATTACTATTACGTATATTATAAAACTTGTATTTGCTAAGGCGTCAAAAAACAATGTTGCATCTACACTTTGAAACGTGCTTATTTCGAGCAATTCAGAAAATTATAACATATTTCTTTTAAAACTTTCTCTTCAACGTTGAATAATAATAATAAAACGAAGTAATGTTAGTTGTTAATCCCATCTCCTTGAGCGGTTTCACGTCAGCAGTTGATAGTTACTACGGTGACTCCAAGTTCAGCCGGCCATCTAATTTCTAATTTGTACTTGATTTGTGTATCTGTACAGTTAAATCCATTTTGCTTGTTGAATTAAAATTAGATTCGTTTGTCATTAAGCGATTTTATATATTATCATTTTGGTTGTTGCGTATGTTCTCTTAGGTTCACGTGTTTATAATCAGTTCAATTCTTTTGAGACTGTTTTTGCTAATTTCATCTGATATATTTTTGTTTTAATTTGATTTTTCAGTATTTGTTTGGCGGGGGGCTATGCTCGTGCCACTTGAAATAATAATAACATAATTTGTAAAAAGTTAATTGCTTAGCAGTAAATTTTTTTAATTTTGTAAACGTAAGAAGAAAAACAAATTGAAATAACAGATTTTTACCATATAATCAAATAAATATATATTAAAATATAAGGAAAACTAAGAAAAGTGTTAATAAATTATTTACATGGAGTCAATAAAAAATATTTAAAAAACTTTTAAAATGAATTATATGTGTTTACATGACTCATGAATTTAAACCAATTTAAGACAACGCTATTGGCATTAACAATATTTGAAACAAATCACCATGGCTGCGAATAATTTCCAACAAGCAAGTATGTACAGAATATCAGAAGAGACAGACAGAGTATATGAACAGTTGATGATTTTCATTCGGGGCAAATTGAAATGTTATTAATTCAATGATTAGATTGTTATAAGTATCTTATGAAGGGACTGGTTTAATGCAAACATTTTAAAATAAATTGATAAAATATTTTTTTTATAAATTTTTTTTATATATAATATAAATATATTTTTATATATAAAAACATATTTTTAGTTAATAAAATAAAACGCAAATGAAAAATTTTATGAAATGAAAAATAATGAATATAAAACAAATAATATACGCCACAAGTTTATATCGGATAAATCAAAAAACGAACATTTTAGGTAACGTTGCTCGAGCTCTGGATAATCAGTGCACAAACAAACGCACTGCTCGAGCATCACTCGGGACAATGTGGTCAGAAATCTTGACACAAGTTACAAGCACTTCAGTTCGGCATTTGAAAAGGGTACTCCACTTCGGGTTATTATATTTTGTTCCATCAGTTCAGTAAAAAATCATGCCAATTTGTATTGCTCGGAACTGAAAATGAGGCATGAACTAAAAGCAGATAAACGTTTTTGAGCGCAAACTTCAATCAGCAACCTCAAGTTAAGAGATCATGAGTGCATAAATTGTAAGCCAGTGTGTAAAATAGAGTCATATTACAAAATTTTTCAGCCAATAAAAGACTGGCATCATAAAAATCCTCAACAGAAGAATTGGTACAAATTGAAATAAATTACGATTCAAACCTAATTGTGAGTTACTGAGATTGATTGGACTGCAAAACACGTGTATGCAAATGTCGCAAATATAAGTTAACGTGCGGATACGTGCTTTTCATGTTTAAACAATTACTTTAAACTTATTTGATCGGTGATGTACCCAGATACACAAAAGCGCACTAAAAACGCAAAACAAAGATTGATTATTTACCTATACCGTTTAATTAATTTACTTTTATTTTTATTTGTACTCATACATTCTCACACACAAATACAAACACCACACACACACATTCACACGCACAACAAATAAAATAAATCCACAATAAACATATATGTGTACTCTGTGTTTATATGTTTACATGGGGCTTATTTATATCTTTCAATATGTTCATATAACGAATGTGTTATATTTATCTAATGTAAAATAAACGCCAATATAAACTCGATAAAATTGAAAAGTACATTTAGTTGAATAGAATCGTAAAATCGTTGATTCCATAGAGCAAGTTGTCACGCACGACGTCATAATTCTAGACCGGACATGTATTTGATGCTTCATTTTTTTGATAACACGACAACTGCCAACCATTTGAAAGCAAACACTTATTATAACTATACTATCTCAAGTTTTGGAGCATTTGAAGATGTTGAGAATGTAAGTGTAAGTGTAACGGCAACAACCACCAACAATTCAAGTGGAATTTACACTGTACAAACTTCTAATGTTCCTTCGTATTCAAAACTTTTTGTTTTGTTTAAAAGCATTCTTGCAATTTTTTTCGGGATTATCAGCTCTTTCGGCAACTCGATGACGTTAGTGGCTCTCTACAGGAACGCCTCTACCATGCGTAGGACCACAGCCACGTTAACGGCCAGTCTAACGTTATCTGCAATTTTAACTAGTTTTGCCCTGTTCTTTTTAGCTTACTGGGGCTTACGATTGTACTACTTTGAAACTCCTCCGTGTTTAATGAAGATTGATCTGTTGATAGCAATACCTTTGCAACAGTGTGTCTGTGTTCTGGTATACTTCCAGGTGATTCTGCTCTGCGTTGAAAGGTTGGCTCTCTTTCATAATAACATTTTACATGACTAACAAATGGAATATTTCAAATAATATAAACATAACAAATATAGAACTTGAATTTTTAAAATTTTATGAATAAACATATAAATAAAATAATGTATATATAAAATATATAAAAACAATATATATATATATATATATATATATATATATATAGTGCAATATTTGCGGGACCAAGATAGGTGGAAGGCACAAATTATTCAGTATAATTCGGAAACTTTCAAACTTGTAAAATCTATGGATGAACATTTTTACTGACAAACATTTTTATCGTTAATTTTGTCATTTTTGATGCGTAAACTGACAGAGTAAAAAATGCCCCCTTTTTTAAATTTTGGACAAAAATTTTACAAACGCTAACCATGCTCTTAAGTATCAACGCTCAGAAACAATCTGCATCTGGATACAACGTGGTGGATGAATGACAATAAATTTCATGGTATCAAGAGTCGGAGGTAAAATTGAGAATAACTTGAATTTTGAAAAAAATAATTCCAATGGCACTAAAAGTCTGTTGGGATCTTAAAATGTAAACGATCACAAAGGTGTTTCTTTACTTAACTCACCGTTAATAATTTTTTTCCTGTTGTCAAAACACATTGGACTATAATTATATAATTATATGACTATAATTAACCTTTTAAAGGTTCATATGCTTTAGCATTAATAATGTTTATTTTTTAAAGAATATAACTTTCATATTTTTAAGTAATTGAAAAGTTACTTATTTATTTAATAACTCCACCTATATTATTATTTCAAGTGGTTATACAACATTAATAAATATTTTGACGGCCTTCTTTGACCGCTTTATTTGATGCAGGTATATTGCGATTGTTCATCCATTCCGTTATGAAGCGTGGATCACGATGAGAAATATAAAATTCATGATCTGTTTATCGATTGTCGTTACATGCATCTACCTCCCTACGTACATCTTCAAGAGGAATGCATCATGCGCGTCACCGTACACAGACCTTCAAATGTCCACCACACTCTTCAGCTTTATCACCACCATATCTCTGGTCATGATATACACGTATTCGAGAATAATGGTCGTAGCAATAAGGCATAAGAGAAACATAGCATCAAGCGAAAGAACGAAGACTGTAACAGTATCGACGGTATGTGATGCATTGTCGCAAGAAGATGACAGGAAACTTATTACAAAAAAACGTTCGTTGTTTTGATTTATTCAGCATAAGTTAACGTTGTTGCTATGCCGATGTATACATGTCGATAAAACACTGATTCTTTATTAGAACTCCTACTTATCTGAGAACTTTTTTGAAAATTAAAATCAGCATCTTATTGAATTTGAAATTGATGAAGGGCTGTGCATTTTTACTATAACAATTTTCTGAAAATTTTGTCTTTGGCTTTAAGATTATGATTAAAGAAATCCCATTTGATTTCAGAAATTCAGCAGACGACAACAAAGAAGCAGGAATTCAAAGCCGCCAAGACAGTTGCAGTGATAGTTGGTTGCTTCTTCTTGTGCTGGATCCCAATTATAGCTGTCAGAACAGCCAAGTTAATCACTAAGTCAAGCCATCCAATATTTTTCTATATGACTGATATTGGATCGGCTTGTTGTCAAATAAACATTTGCCTAACCTGGTTGATTTATGGTCTAACTGATAAGAATATGAAAAAGGCGTTCATAAAAATTCTTTGCTGTAAGGCGTGAACAGAATTAATTAAAGTGCATACCAATGCATATAAAGTTACAATTTAAGGTACCAACCAACATATTTTTCTTATATCAAATATACAGTCACAGTTTTTGTTAGATTTTTTAGCATAGGCCTATAGACAGGGTGGAGAGCCACATTTAATACAATTCAGATAATAATTAACGTTATTTTATTGAAGCCAAGCTTAACTAATAAACTAAAATGTACGTTGTACATACCGGCACAATTACAAATGCTTAAAATACTTGTCAGTTTCGTTGATGCACATTTCCAGTTGATTGTTCAAAATTTCCGTAAACGTTACAAAAGTCGCAATTTTTATCTGAGAAACTGCACCCACAAATTATCTTTGAGGAAGATGGTAAACAACTGGATGGCGCCTGCAATTTCTTGTAAAGTACATCATTTGTTTGTAGGGACTCCAAAAGTAAAATTTACTGGGCGGAGGTCAGGTCAGAGACCACTGGGCCCATTCTACGTCAGGTTATTTTTTGTGCGTGACTTCCGGCACACTTTTTATTACTACTATTGTATTTACATTTGAAAAATTATTTCATTTGTAATTTGCCATGTTTTTATTTTCTCAACATTTTATTGATCATGTTTAGTAATTGTTGTCGGGTGGCTTGGGAGACTTACTTAGTATTGTTTCGGATAACATGGTTAGAATTAATATTGTGGTTTTATAACTTATAAATTGGGAGCGTTAAAAAGTTTAACAAAATGGTTTTTGAATTACTATGTATATTTATTTTGACGTATTAACCAAATCTACTTTTATAATAAAAAACTTTGTTAATTTTTTTTGGCTCGATTCCCAGCGATGTAGTTAACATTTCATTATTTTATTGTGTTATTTATAACAAGTGTTAGTTCACCAAATGTAAATGTCAAACACACGCAGGCTTTTCATAGCTTAGTAATCACAGTGATCATTTATTTATTTATTCATTCAGAATGTTTCATTGCCAAACAAAACATACATAAAGCTTATGCCAGTGGCACGTTGTGTTTCGATTAAAGTCTATTTACTGTTTTGATAAAGTTTGAATTTTTTAATAAGTACAAATTAACTGTATCAATCCAATTTATTATCTCCAAATGCACATTTCGTCATGCACATGCACAAATAATAAAACAACAGTCAGTTAACAAGACACAGACCAAGATGGTTATATGACCACATGACCAAATGATGGTCAAGTTTAAAGTCAACTTCGGAAAATTGAATTGAAATTGTGCTATTGAAATTTTTTTTTATTTACCAATAATTTTTTACCATACGTTTCTTACCAAAAATAATAAATTAAAAATTAAATGCGTAAAAGTAAATGTTTCGAATTTATGAATTTTAAAAAGGATGACAAAATTTATTAACAAATTTTTACCATATAATCAAATAAATATGTAATAAAATAAATGAAAACTAAGAAAAAGTTAGTAAATTATTTACATGGAGTCAATGGAAAACATTAAAAAACTTTTAAAATGAATTAAATGTGTTTACATGACTCATAAATTCAAATCAATTTAAGACTACGTGTGGCCTTAACAAGATTTGAAATAAAGCACCATGGCTGCGAATAATTTCCAACAGACAAGTATGTACAGAACATTGGAACAGTCAGACGGAACAATATGTAGACAAACAGTTGATGATTTTCATTCGGGGCAAGTTGAAACGTTTTTAATTCAATGATCTGTCACTCCTCTGATTGTTGAAAGTACCTAATGAAAGCTGTGCTTTAAGACTAATCAGTGACAAAACGTTTTAAAACAAATTGTTTTCAAAATCTGTTTTTTAAATTTTGTTGAATAAATGGATGAATGCTTATAAAATAATTGTTAGTAAACAAGAGTTCAAATCATATAGCTAATTTATTATTGAGTTAATTTTTTTCACAATTAGTGCAAAACCATTTTTCATTTTTTGAAACTTGTTGGTTCTGATTTCTTGACAGTAGTAATTTATATCGTTGAAGTTATGAATAATGTTCTAAGTGCGACGGAGAAATTGAGGATTTTAATGAATGAATGTATGAATGAATGAGTAAATGAATGAATTAATAAATGAATTAATTCATTCATTCATTAATTCACTTGTGGTTCATTTTGAATCACAAGTGATTTTCTGATTAACACAATTGCTTCAATCAAAAATTTTACGTTACTGCAGAATTAAATGTTACCTTTTTTTATATTATTACGAATTGAGAACAATTTATTGGAGCAAATATTACTTTTATATTAAGTTATATTGATTATGCCTAACATTATATTGGGAAAAATTATAAAAACTTTGCAAACACCAGATTTTAAAGTTAAAAAATGAAGAAGATTAACAATTTTTAAATTTAAATATTCATTTAAAAATAATGTTATAGATTCATCATTAATTTGTGAGAAACGACATTTATTTAAATCAAATGTAATATACATGCTTGGTTGAATTATTTATGCCATTACTTTTTTATTTTTAAATATTATTTGTGGTGATAAAGAAAGATAGCAGGCGTGTATATCAATTATATATCAACTAAACATTTATATTTGAAGGTATTAACATTAAAGTAGAGTGTATCGTATTTACATAATTACAGACTTCGATTCGATGGTACATTACATTTAAAAATCGGTATTAAGAAAGTATTTAAAAAGTATTCAGTTAAATAAAATGAAATAAAAGTAATTTAAAGTTAAAACAAGTGAAATATCAACCATCATAATTTTTGTGGTTAGTTTTCGTTCAGCAGATAAGCAGAGTCTTTCAACATCACCTCACATAGCTACATTCACGTAATCATGAGTTATCAAACATTCAATGCATTCATCTGAAGCATGCACGCGCATACATGTAAACAACGCAATCAATCATTCATAAATCGATAATAAGTTTAGTTTTTCTTAAGAATTTTTCAATTGACATGTTTACAAACATTCACACTTTCAAGTTTAAATTTGAAATGTACAGTTTAACGAAAATAAGAGCATGTTATAAAAGAGATACGTTCTATGAATTACAGCAAAACTTTTTGGGAGTCTCATTATCTTTGTCCTTCAGTTTCAGTCCGACCGACTGAACTTCCAAGTCTTCGTTTGTCATTAAATTTCTGCCATTGTAAAGTAAATATACAAATTTACTGAAAACTTGTCTCCAACTACTTGATTGTTGAATTAAAATAACATATGATGTGCAAACCTCGTGAGCTCGATGATGGCTTCGTTAATGTTGGAGCCACTTTTGGCACTGGTTTCCACGAACAAACAGTCAACATTAGAAGCGAGATTGTGACCATCTTCATACTTGAGACAAACATCTTTTATTCTTCTGTCTTCTCTCAGATCACACTTGTTGCCGACAATCATAACGGGAATGTACTTTTGAGTTCCATCCTTGAGAATATAATTTAATTATACAAATTGAACTTAAGTAAAACTTACATTGTGAGATTTTACTTTAATAATTTCAATCCAGTCCCTGACATTGAGGAAGGATTTTTCGTACGTGACATCGTACAGCAGCAAGACACCATCTGCCCGCCGAAAATACGACTTCGCAATACTTCTGAATCTATAAAGGCAACATAATGATAACGTCTATCAAAAACCGCGGCTAAGTTGTTTAAAAAATGCATTGAAAATAAAGATTTTAGAAATTATACAACAAACGATCGATGACATCTATATTAAAAATCGAAACGTAGAAAATTGTTATAATAATGATAATTATTATTATAATTAATACAATAATAATTGTAACATTTACTGACCTTTCCTGGCCAGCAGTGTCCCAGAGTTGCAGCGCTATTATCTTACCGTCAACTTTCAGTGTCTTCGTTTGGAAATCGACACCTTCAATGGAAATTAATTTCAACAGTCATCGTCATCTTCACATACTAAAATAATGGCACTGATTCAATCTAATATCTCTAATGAAAATTTCCTTTGTCACATTTTTGCTTTATTAACAAGTGATTCTAATAAAAATGATGCTGTAAACTCAATAAAATTTAAGACACCTACACTTATTTTTAAAACATATCTTGCTTAGTTCGATCAAAGTGATTGCTACGTTTCTTTTTCAAATTTTTCAACATTTTTTTAACAACTTCTTATGTTCGTAATTATAAATTAACTCGTTTGCCGACGTAAAAACAAATAAAGCATGTTAAGCCAATATTTAAAAAATTAAATTAAAATTTTTGGTAGATGCCATCTCCCATTACAATAGAACAAAACTTTACTCCTGTTTTAATCGGATTATCCTGATTCCGCTCTAAAGGCCTCAAATTTGAACCAGCAACATATTTTAAACGGAAAAAACTTGGAATACATTCATTCATAAGAATATACAAAAAAGAAAATAACTCTAAATTAATGTTAACGACAACTAACGAACCGACAGTAGAGTTGAGGTTGGTGACGAATTTGTTCTTGCACAGCCTCATTATGAAACTCGACTTACCGACAGCTGCGTCTCCGGCCAGCACTATTTTGAAGACGCGATCAGGTTCCTGGTTTGAGTTCAGCACTTCACAACTCTGAATGAATTGATTAAGTTTTTTTTAATTATAAATTTTGGCATCTCTTGAGCCAATTTAAATACTTTATTTCAAATAACAACTTAATTCTCCAATTGTTTTGCTCTGCGTATCTACAAGACATCTAATTGCTCAGTTTGTGTGGCCATTTCAATTCAAGTTTAATTACGATAGCAAAATATGAAATTATTATTTACATAACTTAAAGCTGCCTTTTCACAATAACAACAGAATTCCTAATTGCCATCTTGCTTACTTCATTCACTTTTTTGCTATTGTTCACGTTTGTGTTATACTCGGAGGCAGAATTGAGATTTTCCAAATCTTCCAAGTTTGATTGGTAACTGTCTGTTTTTAAAAATAAGTGAATTCAAAAAAATTATTAGTGTACATAATTATTTATTTGTTTGTTTCATTCAATCTATATCTGCATGCTTGTAATGAAAATTTTCAAACGTAACAGCACCTAAATCTTCATCCGGTTCATTGTCACAAAAGCCTGATGAATTGGTCTTGATGGACTTTATTTCCAACGCTTGGTTATCTCTGTGAGAGTTTGAAAGTTATGAAAGCAAACTAATTTGTCCTTTTTGTCCCTATGTTTAATTGTTACATATCGCGAGGTATACGTTAAAATATTGGACAGTGCAACACGAGAACCAATAACTTTTCGCTTTAAGTACCTTTTTGCTAGATTGAAACAACTTTCATCTAAATATTTCTGTATAAAATCGTCTTTAGCTATCATGGACTTTTGTTTCATCTGTCAACAGAAAAGTTAAACATTTATTTATCAAAGTAATTTTTTAATTAATACTAAGTTTGATATAAACATTTGAAGGAAAGTTACTTCTTACGAAGTATTATAACAAATACTTTATAACATAACATGAGTAACACAATAGAAAATGCGAAGGGCTCGAATATGTAGTTCCTATGTTTTCACAAAAATAACTTTATGCAAATCCAAAATTAAAACAAAGAAAAGAAGAAGAAAAACAGAATGTTCATCAAAATAAACAAAATAAACAAAATAAATAAAAAAATGAGTACCACGTCAATTTGAAACAAACCATATTTAAATATATTTAGGATATGGCGGCTAGACGTGCTTGTTGCGCTGAAATTTTATGGGTTTTGTTAAATAATAAAAAAAATATAACGGACGAGTGTTTTAAATTGGAAGTTTTAAATTGGAAAATTTACCGTTAATTATTTCTGTTAATTATTTCTAATAAAGAAATAATTAACGGTAAAAAAATTTGATAACTGAAATAGAATGTTTGAAAAAAGATAAACTTAAATTCCGGCTCGTGGGACTACTAAGTAAGATAAAAGTTTGTGGAATTTTGGAACTAATTAAATTATGTTTTGACAGTAATTTGGTGAACTTGTTGCCTACTTTTGCAATTTATAATGTATACCGCATACCTAGCGAAAGATAATAGCAAAAATATTAATGATAATTTAATAAAATTAAATGATAAAGTAGAAAAAAATAAACAATTGATTGTACAATTAGCTGAATGATTAAATAATAGAGTCGATAGTACACGAACGTGTAACACGTGTAAACAACATAATAATAATGGTAAAGGTCGGTTACAGCGTATTGAAAGTGTAAATAGTGCAAGCATTCTTTCTAGTGATAAACGTGACAACTATATTAGTAAAAAATTTGGGCGGACAGAACTGCTCAATATTACACGTCGCAAAGTGAGTCAGGTGATGAAACTGTCGAAAACGTTGGTCTTCAAGTGGTGGGAAGTAAAAAACGAAAAAAGTCGTCAACTTCTCCACAACTGGCGTCACCAAAACCTGCGTCAAAACTTGCATCAAAACTACTGAAAACCTACGGTACTGGCGTCAGCGTCGAAAATATTAGAGAAAAAATTACCTTTTCTATTGGAAATGTCAGTAGGATAACTGAAGTAATTACCTAATCAAACAGAATTAATGAAATAATAATGCCTTTAACATATATATGCGAACATTCTTTCTTAAAGGGCTACTCCCTCAATGCCTTAAGACCGCTAGAGTGATACCAGCTTTCAAAAAAAGGTGCCAGCTAGATATATCAACTTATCGTTCTGTTTCTTTTCTTTCGCTTCTTTCAAAAATTATAAAACAACTGATGTGCCAGAGGTTGAAATCTTTCATACAGTTTAAAAATATTATTCATGAAAGTCAATATGGATTTCAAGCCGACCACTTAACGGAGCTGGCTGTGGTAAGTGATGGAAAAATTGATTGAGAAGATTTTCACAGTAGGAATCTTTATCGATTTTCACAGTAGGAATCTTTACCGATCTATCAAAGGCATTTAATCTAATAAACCATGAAAAACTGTTAAGAAAACTCTATTCATACGGCGTTAGAGGAGTAGTATTATAGATGATTTTTTTCTAATCTTGGAGAAAAACAACAATATGTCTCCATTGAAACCTATGAATCAGAAAAACTCCAGATTAATTGCCTAGTTCCACAAGGCTCTATATTAGGACCCTTACTTTTTTTATTTATAAATGGTTTATGCCATATAACTACATCAGCCAAATTTTCACCATCACTATATTCTTCCACACTAAAGAACATAACAAACATTTAAATTCCATCAATGAAGAACTTCAATCCATCGCCGACTGGTTCAACTTTAATAATTTAACAACAAACTATACAAAGTGTACATACATGATGTTGGACCGAAAATACTCACCAATTGTTTTACAGACTTAAATATACAAGTCAATGGAAATCCTATTCATAGGTCGAGCTCAACAAAATTTTTAGGTATCTCTATCAACGATAACTTACCTTGAGACTCGCACATTAATTTATTTCAAAAAAATAAATAAAACAATATATATATTTTATAAAATTATTTACTCATACTCAAAGTATTGTAATTTACTGTGGGGCAACAGTCCAAGTTCACACCTGCAACATATCCCTTTTAGCCAAAAGCACTTCATTCGTCTCTTTTCCAATCTTCATCTTTGCTGCTATATTACTAATTATTGCAATATTTTACAAATTTTGAGCGTTGAAAATATCCACTTGTATACCCTAGCTCTTTTTATGTACACCCGCCGTAAACTCCCATTCTTTTTTAAAGATCTTTCATCCTAAGAAGCTCGGTCCAAAGTAAAAAAACAAAAGGCATGCATTAACTTTTTTCCCCATTTATTTTGGAATGGAAATGAAAAATACCAGCTTACAATTTTTGGTCTAAAAGTTTGAGATGAAATTATTAAAAAAGAAATAAAAAATATATGTCAAAAACATTCATTTAAAAACAAAGTCAAAAAATTTGGGATTGAGCAAAATACTTTGTTTTTAACTTGATATCAAAAAGTCAATCATATAATGTATGTATATATGTGTGTATGTATGTGTGTGTACGTATATAAGTGTGTGTGCGTGTATGTGTGTATGCATGTATGTTTGTAAGAACCCATAATTGATTAGAACTATAGGGAAGTAATAATCATATCCGGGTTCTGCTTTAATCTATGTTAAACGCTTCGCACAGGTATTTTAACGCTCCATCCAAAATACAGAAAGAATTATATTTTTGAAGTAAAATAGAAAAGGATTGCTTTACATAATTCTTATCTAATGGGTCACCCGATACTTCTACAATCCTGCTACAGAGTTCATTCAGAAAACTCTGAGTCTGAGCATCGGTTGGACCAAAGGTTTCAATGCAGATTGGCTGAAAAATTTTGCTTTCTGCAAGAGCCGCATATTTTGAATTTTTAAAGTCTGCGGCTCTTAAGGCAGCGGCACCCGCCTCCTGTGAGGTAAGATTAATGTACGTTTGTATGTATCACATTCACCTTTTTCTTCATCAACATTTACATTTATTTACTAGAACAAAAATTTCTTATCTTTTGGATACCAGATAATATAATTTCATGTGTATGCATGTTTTTATTTGTGAGTACGATGAGTATATGTTTCATAAATGTTTGCGATTCATTTCAGCAAGGCATGTATTAGTGGACTGATTAACTCACATTTATATTTTAATGCATTTGTATGTGCATTTATGTATCTGTATTTAAGCAGTAGGGTATTATGTTGAGGTCGGTCGGGACTGCCTAGTTGTTAACAACCTGGTGGATTCGATCGATATAAGCCGATTATGTATGTATGTGTGTATCTATTAGTATATTTGCGTGTGTGTGTATGTGTGTATGTGCGTGTATGTATGTATGTGTGCATGTAGGTACGTATGTTTGTCTGTCTGTCTGTATGTATGTATGTATGTATGTATGTTTGTTTGTTTGTTTGTTTGTTTGTTTGTAGGCATGTATCTGTTTACGTAATTATGTGTGTGTAATGTATGTAGGTATAAATGTGTAAATATGTGTATAAATGATTTGTATTCTACGTGCTTTAACCAGTGTTAGGCATGGACGTAGGTGGGGTGCGGTGCACATATGTATGCGTAAAATGTTCGTACACTAGGCCATGCCCTGCCTGAGACGTATGGCCATGTCTTATAAGTGCATGGTGTGGGGTCTTATGTGTATGTTTATGTGTATATTTATATGAGTGTGTGAGTGAGCGGATGTTTGTGTGTAGGTTTGTGACTTGAGCCATAACGAATTTTAATTCAATTTCATAAGTGAGGCAATAAAAATGTATTATATATTTATATGCTATTCAGTTCATTGCAAAACTATTCGGTTGCTTATGTTGTTAGATACCATATGAATGTGTTGTTTTTAAATAGGCAGCTGGTGACCGTTAAAAGAACAATTATTTTTGGTTTCCAGATCATTTCATTTCATTGATTCTATTTTTTTTGATTTGATGAATTTGATGAAATGTTTAAAAATGTTTAAATGTTTAAAACTAATCAGTCCCAAAATTAAATTTACATGGAAAGTTTCTTAAATAAAATTACTCAACATCCATTTCTTAAATGAATCGACAAAGCATATCTGCATAACAATTAAAATGTCACCGATCCTTAAACCTGAGTCCTGTAGTACGAACGGCAAATTCTCAGAGCTTCGCATAAGTCATCTGTCTTTTCGTGTAGAGTTTTGTTAGCAGACCTGATGGGATGGTTCATGCATGATTTGCATTGCAATATCAATAAAGAAATGATTACGCTAATGATGAAGTAATATTTAACGTGGAGGATTTATTTATTTTCATTTATTTATATCTAACTGAAATGAAAAAATACGTTAGCTCATGTTTCTTTTAAAATAAATTTTAACCGTACAACTAATAACTAATCATAACTTACGGAATTCCAACTTCATTCACATTCAAAAAATTGTTTTTACCTCCTTGCATTCCATTTTAAGATATCTTAGAGTTTACCAATTTTTTCAATCTGAATTTAACTTGCTAACTTATTAATTTTTTAATAATAGTCAATGACTTCATTTTGTTTGAATTTCTTAACTGGAAAACTAAACATACATCGCAATTATATTGAGAAAAGTATTTCATGTTTTACTCTAAAAATTGTAAAACATGCCCAAGCCAGAGTTGCTTATTAGTCTAAAGCTAGTATCTGTAACTTATTCAGCAATTACTATTCGTAAATCCATTTAGTCAGTCAAGCTAAGAGGCACACTAATAAAATAAATTTTCTACACTTATTGAAAAATGTTTAGTTTCATTTTGATGTTAAGTCCCGTGACATAAAAGATTGACTGATACATGAAGAATTTTTTACTGGAGTAGATCAATCTGGCTGATCAGGTTGTCGATCTCAATGCTGTCTTCATGGGATATCTTCTTCTGCCTGCAAGAAGTCATGTTAAATGCGTTTCATTAATTCTAGAGATTATGTACAAAAAGTTTAATTAATTTTTTTAATTGTAATTTACATATTTATAAAGAACTGAATGTTATTTTAAAATAATTTTATCGAAATTTTAACCTGGCGACTTCGCATTCTTTTTCTTCAAGTTTCTTTTTCACACTTGAAAGCTCGGATTTTGTGGAGGTTAAGTCAAGAGTTAGTTCCTCAATGGTTTTTGTCAGTTCTTCGTTCTTCAATTTACTTTCTTGCAACTCGAGTTCATATTTTTCTATGGCTTCTTTGGTGGCTTGTGTGAAGACAGCTGACTGAATGTTGCATAAAAATGTATGTCAGGACAACCGTCATGGGCATAGTTTAGTTGAACTTTGGTTATCAATAATATAATTAAGTTTTGAATTAACTAATTCATTAAACCAACTTCCTTCAATTTTCTTATTTCATTCCTGAGACTCGCAACGTCGTCAACGTGTTTGGCTTTCCATTCTTTTTCTTGAAGTTTGAACTTTTTCTCTTGCTAGTTGATTGAATATTCAATTTGTAAATTACATTTTAGTTGTTTCAATGAAATAAAAATGAATGCAGGCACCACCTCCAGTCTGACTCGATCTTCCAATGTTTTCACGTGACTGTCGATCTCATCTTCCATGCGTTTTATTTGCAGTGAATGTTCATCTTTCGTTCTGTTTAACGATAGTTCGTGTTAATATCATTACGTTAAAAACGAAGGTGATGTATCGTGAAATGAAAAGATAGTGACAGACTTTATTTTTATGGGTACTCGTTCAGAAATCTATGAACTACCTTCACCTATGACACAGTATGAGATATTTGAGATATTTAAAAAAAAAATTCAAATCAGTTGACTAATTTAATTTCAGTTATCAAATAACCATCATAAATTTATGTTATAAAAAAAATACTGAAAGACTGCATCAAATCAAAACTATCCCATGCTGCTTGTTCACTCCGAACTTGGGTTTTTCAATGTTTTGTAATTTTTTTCTCAAACGTTCTATATAACAAAGATGTGTATTACACTATTACAGTTTATAAAACTTATATATAAAAATAAATTTCTCTATGAAGTTACTAAATAATTATAAATTTGTCCACAGTTTTCCTTATTAACAGTCAACACCATACCAAAAGAGGCGTTCTTTTTGAATATTTTCTAAAATTGACGATGGTTGGCAACATCTTTTATTTATCAATCACTATTTTAGATGATCGCTACTCATAGATATTTTCTAAAAATAACAACCTTAAAAGCATTTTGAAAAGCGTAGTAAACTATGTGCATCCAATTTCAGCACTTCTAACAATTGTGGTGACTCCGACTGGTGACAAAACGTCGGACCATCTCCGACCAACTCTGACGACATGCGTGCAGTAGCAAGGCATCGCACAAAAACTTTCCGCTACAGAAAATTTTTAAAGGGCTTGAAAAAAAAATATCTTAAAATATTTTTGTTGAGTTTGTTATTACGGTTTATGCTGGCAATAGTTATATATTAACTTGCAAATGTAGCATTATATTCAATTCGAGCAACGTTTATCGAAGACTAAAATACAAAAAACTGACAACGACATGATTTTTCTGACCTTGAAAAATGTCTTTAACCAACTATACCGTTTTATGTTTTGAATAAAATGTCTGCCTCCAATTCATTGAAACTTGAAAATTGTTGGTAGTTATTTCAATTTTCATGAAGATGACGCTACGATTACTACGATCAAATATTGATAAATACATGAGCATGTTTACAACGAGAAGTATCGACTGTTTGACATTCATTTATGTCTTGTTTATTACTTTTATGTTTTCTAAGCGTTATTTTATTCCCGCAATAAAATATTGAAATGAGGATTATATAGATTACATGGTCGTTTGCTTCAGCTCATTCACACCTGCCGTGTTGCTTCGTGATGGCAACGTGCACTGCAATTTATAAACTATTGTAATGTATTTTTTTAGGAAATCTAATTTCGACCTTTTCAAAAAATCTCATAGAAGCATGCTTAGTATTTTAGCGCTTCTTATTTCTTTTGTAACTTTTTCATTGACTTATTATATGTTCAAGTTCTTTTTTGTGTCGATATGTTTCGAATAAACAACGCGGTGACCTTGATAGAATGCTTTCTTTTGGAAACCCTTGTGAGCAAATTAAAATGCGTGTACTTTGTGTGGTACATATGGTTTATAAAATTTTCAATACAATATTTACCAGTAAATTTGTTGAATTAATGAAAAAAATTTATATCGAAGAATTGTTTGAATGAGTAGAATGCAGTATTTGACGTAATGAATTACTCCATGAAACTCAAATTAAAACTTTCTCTGACTGACCTTTCGTAGAGCTGTTCAAGGTGGTTCTTCTCAATCATAACGTTCTTGATGTCGTCGATGAAATTTAGAATGATGCTGCCAAATATCGTCAGCAGTTCCTCCGACCCTGGTTCGTGCAGTCTCAAGTACAGGTCGCATATTTTTTCTTGGCTGTCATTTCATTGCACAAATTTAGCGTTACGTACAAATGAGTAATTTTCTAATATGCGAAACTTTCTTCAAAATTGTTTTTTAATGAAAAAATTCGTGTTCTACAGGTCTGTACATACAAGCAGATGCACTCCAAATGACAGGAGTAAAAATTTGTAGCCTGTGGAATGTGTATATCGTTTGAGACTGGACAGCATGCAACATAATCAGGCATTATTTTAATCATAAATAAACTGACTTGGCTTGATTATTGACAAAAAATTAAATAGTTAAATAAAAAGTGTCGTAAAGTAAAAACCATGTTAGATATTTTCCATAAATAACTATAAATATTCATACCGTGTCTACTTATCAAATTTAATGCGGACGTTTGGACAATTTCGAATTGAAAGAGAAAGAGTTTATTGCGTTGTTACTATTCACTTGAAAGCGAAATATTTTTGCGTCAAGTCTGCCAATGAGAGCTGCACCTTCATATCATGACGTCAAAGTGCACGTAACTGCAGTGATGCTGTCTATTGGCTTACAATGCAGCGTGAAGAGGAATCACCCAAGACAGCTACGCACAGCAACACACAATCATAAAAGCCATTAAAGGAAGGTAAACCTTTCAAAATTATTAAAAACAATTTCTGAGTGTTTAAACAACGATCAATATTAAGTTGTTGGAGCACATGTACTTGATGCAGTCAATAATGTTGTTAGATCGAATATTAAAATGAACTTTGAAAAATTTTTCTCGGCAAGAAATGTTTGGATTTATAGGAGGCAGTTGTTAATGCAAGAGTTGTTATTGACACATTTTTATAAAATGATAGAGAATAAATTTAACTGATTGATAATTTTCAACATCATTAAAACACAAAACTTACACAAAACTCAAAAGTTTAATGTTCTAGTTATAATTCCGCGCCATTCATTCCTCTCAACATTTTCTTTGTCCATCTAGCCTTCAAAATTTTTTTTGAGATTCAGTGTGTACAGTGTCGTTCAAATCATTTTTTTGTTGTACTTTTTTTTAAAGAAACATTTTGCCGTTTGTAAAGTTTTCTCCGTTGTAGTAGCTTTCTAAAAAAATATGCACCAGAACAGAAACCACATAGGTACAAGGATGGTTTTTGTTTTGCAAAATCCCAACAACTCTCCAGATGGTCTCACACCTCCTTCTCGTAATACGTTAGCATTTTTTTTGGACTAGTTGGCTTGTTGTAATTTCTCCTCCATAGTTCAGGCTGTATTGTTGGGGCAGTTTTCTTGCTGACTTAATCAGGTCTATGTGTTTCTTTTTTTATTTGAAATAATTCCAAAATGTTTCCACTACAAAAAAGATTTGTTACAAACCGCAAACATTTTTTGTCTTGTCTATTTACTATTTATTGTAAAATTTGATCTCATCGCATTTGTTCATCTTTTGTTCACCTGTTTTGTTTACATATTTTTGTTTACCTTATTTACTACACAATAACAAAAACACATTACGACACAAGTGAGAAAAACATGCAAACAATATGAAATTTTATTGAAAATTTTGCTATGGTTAAAACTCAAGAAATTCAAGCTAGCCCTTACAGAAATTTTCTGGCGAAGTCATTGACGGGAGATGCGTGGATCAGTAAATGTTTGCTATTTGTTATTTGGGTGGTAACAGCATTAAACCTTTCATGAAATTTGTTTCAAAGAGTCTTACGAATGTTTGTTCATTCATTGTTGCCAAAAATTTTGTCATGATGTTTCTCGAATGTGCAATACAAACAAAACACGTATAGAACGAATTATTTTTTTCCTCGTGAAAGTTTTTTCTTGAATACAAATTTCATGTATTTAAAGATGATTAGTTATTATATTTTACTAAATTTTTTATTTTCTTTTTTTGTGGCCTGTCAAGTTCTACTTAAATTGATTAGTTTAGAAAGCAATTAATTTTTTTATCGAATAAAGAACGATACTGTGGTTTAAATATTGCCAGATACAGTAGCCGACACAACATAGTAGCACAATCAATATATTAATAGTAGTACACTAAATGCAGAAGAACAAACCACTTGGTTGTACATCAAATTCTGTTGTAAAAATCATATAAAAGTACAGTTATTGCAGGAGGAACAACTTATACAATAGATCAACTAACATTGCAGTACACCTATCGAAGTAGTACAACAAACATAGTAGTGGGTAGGTACATAGTAGTAGAACATCAGCTCGGTAGCCACCTGAATGTTTCGATCGATTGCTAGTGAAGTTCTGACTCATGAAACATCTGCTACTGTTTATTGCCTTCGTAATTTATTGCTACTGCTTGTACTTTTTTGCTTTTCAATATTAAAATGAATTATTAACTGATTATTATTGTTGTTATCAAATGAAGATTTCTATGATAGTGTTGACTGCAACAGTAGTGACGATGATGCAAATAGTCGACATCATGCTCACGAAAGATGATAATTATTTTACAATTTTGATAAAAATATCTCCACGGTTTCTCTTTCTTACGACAGTTGTATATATCTTTATGCAGCTCTATTCCTTAAAATCTTCTTTGACTTTATATAAATATTAATAAGATCATGACGCGAGAACTCTAATTTACGTGCAATATATTCGTGCATTGAATTGTGTGCTTAAATGCTTTTATTTAAATACCTGTTTACATGTTTTATGATGTCTCGTTCGACAGATTAAAATTAGATGTTCCGTTCTATGTTTAATCAATGTCTTGTCCACATTTCGTTTCATGTACTCGGTGTTGGTATTCCAACGTTACTTTTGATTACCGGTTTATGTAACTTCATTCATTCATTCGTTCGTTTGCTCATTCTTTGAATTTTTTAATCCAAATTGTCAATTAAAAGCAATGCTGTTGTAATGTATGCCTGGCTCATTTCATGAAAAATCGATCAATTTGAAAGACACGCCAAATGTTTTCAATATAGATGTGATGAAATTTATGGAAGATGTAATAAGCGATTGTTTAATAATAACACTTAAAATTTTTCGTAATAACTATTTAATGTTTACTTAAACTTGTTTCTTGTTGTTTATTAGGAATGATAAAAAATGAAATTTTTTTAAAAAGTTTCAAATTTCAAAATAATTGAACAAAATTAAATTGAAAAGAAATGACTGAACTGACCATGATAGGAGTCTGAAGCCTTCCTCGAGGATGGCGTTGATGTCCTGTTCACTCTGCTCCTCCACCGTCTCCTGCTGCTGCAACTGGGCTCTCTGGTTTGTTTGGTGTGTTTTGTATTGTGCCGATAAAGAGGGAGAGGAAGTTGTTGAAGGGGAAGGTGTCGCTCTTTGTTGGCGCTGTGAACTTTTCTTTGGCACTTTCTCCTCGTTCATTTGATCTTCGAAGCAGTTTGTCAACCGCAAACTTTTTGGTCTTATTTTACTCTGATCTTTGCTCAATTCCGTTTTACTTAAACTTAAGTGTTTTGTCTCTTTACATAAAAAACTGTCAATAACAACTTTTGATGAGTCGTCATCCAAACAAATTGAATTTCGCCTCAAGGATGTTTTGTTTTTGTAATCCTCATTATGGTTATCCAAATGTGAAAATCTTTTCAACTTTTGAACGAAGATTTCATTTAAATCAACACATTTGTCGGAAAATTCGCTATCCAACCGCTGTTCAAACACCGCGTCGTAATCACTCGAATCGCTGTCAGTTCTGCTGCTAATTTGAATATTTTTAATTTTGCTAACGACTTGACAATCGTCTTTGACGTCGGAAATGTTTTGAAGCTGAGGTGTGCAGTTGTGGTGAGGAAGAGGAAGAAGAGGGAGCGAAGGAGAATGATGACAATCAAGAAGTAATTGATTGAATGCTGGCGTCCCTTTTAATTGTGTTTCATTGCTCATGTTTGCCTCGATGGTCTGCTGCTCTCTTGTCTTAATAAAGTTTATATTCAATAGTGTGCGCGCGCGTGAATAATAAATTTTCTTTCTTTCATTCGATTCACCTTTTTGTTTTTTTTTTCTTTTTCTTCTCTATAAAACTCGCGATCACACATTTGCAATGCAAGTGCAACGGGTTGTGGTGAGTATGAATCGATGGAGTGCGTATTTAATGTTCATCGATAAATAAAGCGTGGGTGTAATTAGGGGGAGGACGAGATTGTTCTGCACTAAAAAAACGTAACATTATTTTTGTCTCTTTTGCTACTTATATAGACGCCCAGACATTTTGTATATAACGCCGAGGTAGCTAAGACCTCAATTTAAATTGATCTATCTTCAACACTAGTTCGAATTTGAGATGTGTAGATAGCAGGCTGAGGCGTATGAAACGAGCATTGATTTTGCGTTGCTAAAATAATTATATAGCAAACAATTTAGCGAACTCTGTCACAAAAATACGTTTCAAGTGTGAACTAATCTAAATCATTTTCAGTCAACATGTTTGATAAGAAAATGTTTCAAGCGCCATATTATTTTTCTCTGTTCATTTAGTTATCAATCACTTTTCAATTAATGCTTTTTATTCTTAAAATACAGAAAAAAATTTTTTTCGTCAAAATAATAAACATAAAACTGTACAAAAAATAAAATCATCTAAACACGAACTTTTTTCTTAAAAAGTTTTGTAAAAATGATGAATGCATTATTGTTAATGCCTGATAAAAATATAACTGTATCAACAACAAATCTTCTGATTCATTTATAGTAATGTTAAAAGTATACTTAAAAAAACGTTTCATTATTTGGCACATTGTATTATTGCATATAAAAAAAATATTCAAAATAATCTTAACTTAATGAATGTGGATTTTTATGTTTGACAAATGAATTTAGTGTAAATAAATAAATTTGTATATAGTTCTGTTAACAAGGCAATAATCGTGTAACTGTTAATGAACAATGGCAAATTAAAAAAACTGTTAATTGTTAATTTTCATTCACCACGTCTGCCTCTTTGCGTTTGAATTGTTCAAAGTTTCCATCATAAAATTTAGCTGTACATATTAGTTACATCACATGCATACAACATAATTTGTAATGACATATTTGAAGTTGAAATGAATGTAATGACGATCATCCGAACGGAAGATGCAGTGTGCTGGCCTGGCTCCAAGGCTGGTGCATGCCCTCTCCATTCAAGTAGCGAATTTGATACTTGTAAGAGTTCATAGGCGATAGATTTTCTAAAAGTTTGTAATTCAAAGTGTGGTTGCTCACGATGTAATGATTGTCATCTTCATGCTCCAATTTATATCGAAACAAATAATTATACGTGCTCTGAGAGGATGAAGATGCTGGTGACGGGGAGGATGTTATCCGGGAAAATGGATCAACTCCACAGGAACCTTGTACGGAGGTGAAAGTCTCTGGCCAGGAAATGTAGGCGTTAACTCTTATTTGAACATCGTGGACAAAATGTATTGGTTGTTTGAAATAAGCGGAGGATTCGTCCGCCTGATTTGAATGCTTCACGGTCTTCGGCGTTTTGGGAAACTTTTGATGTCTTTTTGTTTTTGATTCTGTTGAACCTTTGTGAGGTTTGTTATTATCTGAAACTTTTGAATTCCTGCTAACTTTCGAAATTTTTTTGTGACTGTTTTGGTCGTTTGATAACTTCAAAGGTGGAAAATGTGCTTCTGTTGGAAAAATCGGTGGAATTTTTAAAATGATTAAAAAACTTTGAACAAGTAAAAATAAGAACTTGCGTCACTTCAAACAAAAACAGATAATTTGTTTCCTCACCTTCTTGTAATGTTTTCCCTTGAATTTCATCTGTGAACGGACTGACGAGAATTCCTTTGCCGGTTCTAACTTTGAACTTGTACCACTGGTTTGGTTCCAGGTCGTAGATGGTCACTTGATGCGCCTTCACGACAATGGAATAATTTTTTTGATTGTCGATGGAGCTGTAATAGACGGCATAAAATCTCTCGTCAGAGATTTTTTGATCCTGGTAGAGGGAGGGATCACTCCATTGAAGATAAACTGATCTCGATGATAAGGTCTTCAACAGAAGATTTGTTGGTGGTGGCAAAAATGATGATTCCGCTTTTGGAGCATGCATTCCAAATGCTGAAATTAAATTTAAATAAAAACGTTGAACTTATGTAGTTTAAGCAAATAAAATCTCAAAGTTTCAATTTAAAAATAATTGTTTCTAAGACTTAAACGTAAAATCAGAATAATAATTACTAAAACTAATGTTTAAAAAATGTTCAAATCATTCCACCGCTTGGTAAAACCGTTTTACTAAGTAGCTTCGATGTTCAAATACCTCTGATAAACAATAAAATCTTTAACCACAGTTACATGCTTACCTACTTTTTGAATAAGTTTGTTTGTTACTTAAAAGTTAATGTTGAAAAAACTAAATAAAATTCTAACATAAAACAGTTTAAAAAAATAAAGACCTACAAGATCGTTCTTTAGTAGCGATGTTTCGATAGACGGCATCACTTCTGTGCTGTTTAACAAATGACCTCACGCCAACCACGTACTTCGTTGAATACTCTGAAAACATTTTAATTAGTTCGACCTTGTGACTTGAGTGCTTACAATAAAATAAAACATCAATTTATCTGACAATGGATTTTGGTTTTTAAAGGTGTTTTTAAAGTTCTGTTTTATTATATAATGAAGCGTAATGTAGATAAATAGAAATACAAATGTAATACAAAAATTAATGTTAAAAAGCAGACAAAATTGTGTTGATGATCATTGGATGTTGCAGTTGTTTTCGCTTAGTAAATTGACTAATTTTATTACTTTAATTTTGTTAACTCAGCTAAAAACTTTATTTTAATTGAACTTAACAAGATAATAATATTGTTAAACATTAAAATAAGGATATGGCCCATTTCTCTTGAATATGAATACAGTCATTTTTTATGATAATAATCAACTTAAATTATAAAAGACAGTAATATACTTTTGTTGCTATTGATAAAAATATTACCACACACGTGCATTTGACATCAGACCGCAAAGACGTTTTGTACGTGACCTTATAAAATTCTTACTTAAATCGCTTAGTGTTAAGTTTCTGTGTTCGGCGCTGACGTATTTGAAATAAAGATCAGGCACTTCTTCTCCGTAGCTCACAATGAAGCCTTCGATGCTGCTGCGTTGGACACTCTCTTGGACACTCCACTTGACGAAGATGTTGTTCTGGTAGGAGACGGCATGGACGGTTGATGGAGGTTGTATGTGCAGGAGGGCAAACTCTGAATTGATGTTGTTTCAACGTTCATCAAATTATTAAATTACGATCAAAAAGTTTTATTAAATGTATTCAAATCTCAATTTTAAAGCTCTCTGAATCTGTCGATGCATATATAAAAATAAGCTTAATTCATACCGATTTTTACAAAAGTGATTGTGTGTGTGTATATATGTGTGTGTATGTGTGTGTGTGGTGTGGGTTTGTGTGTTTGTGTACATGTGTGCGTCAATGATCCTCGTTCCGCTGACCAAAACTTATCCGTTTGTTTTCCTATTTTGTTCAGATTCCGTGTGCATGAGTGGATGATCCTCTGTTTGATGAGTGACATGTTAATTTTTTTACTACTGTCGTTGTCATTTCAATGTGAAATTTAAAATCATACAGAACCTTCAGTGTTTGACATCATAATTTATTGCTAGACAACGTACCAACTTGGAAGAGGCGTGATGTTTGCATTTGTTGAGTTGTTTATTATATTTCGCTTAGATGTTTTGTAGTATGTAGGCTTACATACGTCAGAAGTTTTATATTTTGTTTAGGCTTGTTGCTTTGCAAATCAAAAGTTATAATTTTTGGTGAACTTTTTTTATGCAGTTCATTTTTTCTGTCACTAATAAAAAATCATTGACAAGCTACAAATCTCGGAAGCACTCTTAATAAAACAACACAAACCAACTGTCAATAAATTGTTCATATATATATATATGTTTGCGTGTGTGTATACATTCAATTAAGTTCTCGTCCATCCTTTCGAGACTGGTAAATGGGTAGATGACGTAAGTTGTCACATGTTGGCCGGCGAGGTGGCACAGTGGTTCAAATGCTCGCTGAGTCAAACCTCTCAGTGGCTATCATATACTCAGCGTATATGATGCGGTGCTTGCGCGTGCACATAAATACATGTGTACGTCGTGTGAAAAGGATAAACAGCCTTTGTGGAGAAGATGGCTGCTTCAAATCAATGGATGAAGATATGAAGAACATAAAAAATATATAGATAACATATCTGTAACATTTTAAGTGGTTCTGCATATGTCAGAGCTGCAATAATAAAGACTAAAAAAAGTTAATAATTGTACTTATTCAATCAATCCATCATACCCTCTTGGTCTTGTTTTTGATTTTTGTGCCACTTGGTTGCCAGGTTGTTCTGGCTGCTACAAAGATGAGCCACTACTTGGACTGCAAAGAGACTGCCTTCAGGTACGTTGTTGATGATTTTGTAATGCCTGCCCGTGCCCACCTTCCATGATTGAATTTGATGCTTCGAAGGAAGATATTTGAACTTTACTTCGAAGTACTGCAAGGGACACGAGGACTCGTGAAGTCTTCTCTGCTTCACAAACTTCTCCCAATCTATTTTAACGTTCTTTCGTATGAAAATTTTTAAAGTTTAATGTAAAAATTGGATATATCTAAAGTATTGCATTTTTATTTCATTTTTTAATTTAAATTTGGAAAGACTAGCTGTAATAAACTGTTAATACAAAGGTAACTGAAATATCGAAAATAGCAAGCAATTTTTTCGGCAAAATTTTTAAAATAATACGTGAGAAAAAGGTCATCAGCCGCTTATTTGTTGAGACAATTTTTAAATGTTTATCATTATACTATTTAGTGATTTAATACATAAAAATTTTCATAATGATACATGTCGTCGTGAAAAGTGGTTGGATTAACTTAATTTGTGTTCAGACTGTCGTATATACAGTTATTAAGAAAATGCGGTGATATTAAAAAAGTTGTAAATCGTAAATGTAATAGTCAAGCAATCAACAAACCATAGAATCAATCCTTGTTATTGTAACTGTTTTAGGTGGCAGACTTTCACTAACTGCATCTATCGAATGTTTTAAAGTATTAATCTTATTATTTTTGTCAACTCGATCTTAAATAATAGATGCATTTCAATTTGATAGTTATTCATAATATTTTAAAAAATAATAAACTTTAAACACAAAATAAGAAGCAATCGGTGCAAACACTTATAAGCTTCCTAAGCCCATTAAGTCTAATGCACTTATTAGGAACGAACGATGAATTGAACATGAATTAGCAATAAACGAACAATGAATGAACATGAATTAGCAATAAATGAACAATGAACAAACATAATAAACTTGTCAATTTCTATTCTAATGAATATCGCAAATGTGCGCAAGAATTGAATATTATGTAACCGTAGGCATGTTTGAACATTCATCGATAGTTGTGAGTACAACAGTCTTCATAATTTATTGCTCCTCGTGTCTGTTGGAGAGATGTTGTGCGATAAGATAGCCAAAATTTTTAATAAAATTGCATGGTGATGACACGATGGAGATTTTGCCGTCAATTTGCTCCTTTCGTGGTTCGATATAAGTTAAAATGCAATTGCTACCATATTCTTAATTTAATAAGCAAGATGCATGCGTTTTTTGCATGTCTGGAATGCAGTTATGTGTTAAAACTCACTTTTATAGAAACACCAGTTGGTTTTTATTTATATTCACATTTTAAAATTTTAAGAAATGTGTAAAAGCTATAAATAAATCATTTTTGCTTGAAGCCCATATTTTTTGTTGAACATTTTTTCAATGTGGTTGTTTAATATATGCAACGGTTTGTACAAAGAACTCGCAGCCTAACAAACAGTCAAGCATTCAAATGTACAATGGCATACTCAATTGCAATCAAGAATCTATATGCTAACATTTGACAGCAATATAAAATATAATGCATGAATCATATAATATGCAGTAAAAGATAATTACTTAAAATAATTTAATATGGCTTACTGCAGACATTATCTTATTGTTATAGCATCAATATAAATAAGTTAAGGTTATTTCGTTAAAAACTCGTTATTTCAGTTTTAAACACTTGATAACATGACAAGATACCAGTTTGAAAAAATCAACAAAATAATAAAGAAATCAAACCACCAGCATTAAAGTCGACGCTATAAAACAGTGAATACTGAATAAAAATATCTAAGCAACAAATCATTTCATCTAATCAACAAATCATTCCGTCTAAACATCAAATCGTTCTATCAATATTTAAACAACAAATCAATCCATTTAAACAACAAATCATTCCATCTAATTATCAAATCATTCCATCCTAACATCAAATCATACCATCTAAACATCAAATCATTCCATCTAATCCTCAAATCATTCCATCTAAACAACAAATCATTTCATCTATACAACAAATCATTCCGTCTAAACAACAAATCATTCTATCCAAACAACAAATCATTCGACCTAAACATCAAATCATTCTATCTAAACATCAAATCACTCCATCTAAACATCAAATCATTCTATCTATCTATACAACAAATTATTCTATCTAAACAACAAATCATTCCATCTAATCATCAAATCATTCCATCTAAACAACGAATTATTTTATCTAAACATCAAATAATTCGATCTAAACATCAAATCACTCTATCCAAAAAATAAACTAATCTATCCAAACAATAAATCATTCCATTTAAACCACAAATCATTCTATCCAAACAACAAACTAATCTATCCAAACAATAAATCATTCCATTTAAACCACAAATCATTCTATCCAAACAACAAATCATTCTATCTAAAAAACCAATCATTCTATCCAGACAAACAAATCATTCCATCTAAACAACAAATCATTCCATCCAAACATCAAATCATTCCATCTAAGCAACAAATCATTCCATCTAAACAACAAATCATTCCATCTAAATACGTTGAATTATTAAAAACTACACAATCTAATAGCTTTGAAAATATTTATTAACACACGCATACGTATAAACAATTATGCAAAAACAATTGCTTACGTGCACATAAGCAGGCATGTGTGCTGTGTGTATTCATTTGTATTCATAATAATTTTAATAAAGGGTACTCTTTGTAAATGAACCATGACCGTACCTATTCTTTTGACATGAATTTGTTTGACTTGAGTGAACGAAAACATAAACACATATGACCGAGGAAAAAAATATTGAATGTTTATTTGAACGGCAGCGTGAGTTTATATATTTTGTGTGTTCTGCTGAACTGAGGGGTTGCGATTCGTCAGTTGTAAATTTAGTCATTGAGTGTTGTTATTAGTTCATTGAATGTTTTTGTTTAGTCATTGAGTGTTGTAGTTGTTGAAAGGTCTGTTAGTTGGTGTTGCTCTGATGTTGAATCTTTTGTTGTTGTTACAGCTCAAGTTGGAAATGTTTATTCATTGTGGATGGTTTTAATTGCTGTTGAGTTGATGTTGCTTCGTGTTGCAAAACATTTTTAAAGGTATCAAGAATGTTAACGCAATAAGTTTCTTATGCTCTTTACGTTTTGATAACGGATTCTACTTTCTATGTTACCATGTAGTTCTGTTGAACCACAAAGAATTATTTCATATATTGTGCTTATTATATCACATCTGCTGTAATACTATAAGTTTTGTGGTAATCTATTTCTGTATCCTCAATGCTATGTGTTCGAGTTTGTTCACATTGTTGTGTAAAATTCATCTGTGTAAAATGGTTGAGCATTTTTCACACATGTCTCTAATGTACTAAGTTATGTGGATGTTGATGTTTCGCGAAACAACGTGTGAGTTCCATGGTGCTATTTTAGGTTACATGCCTGTGCGCTTACGTTCAGTTCCGAGAATTGTTTCGTACCATTAAAAAATTAGATCATGTTTGCTTTTTTATTGGCACGTTGAAAACAACTTTTAGAAATTTTTATTTTCTGGCAGTTGTTTTCTGTAACTGTCTAAACTAGAACAACGTACGTTCGTTAGTTTTTGATTAAATCAAATGATTTGTTATGCCTTCTCACTTAAATGTTTGCAGAAATTTAGAGAAGATGAGCGATGCACTGCGCGTGCAACTGCAACTAACAACGTTGTCGTTACGCTGTGCATGTGCCCGTTGTATTTTTTAAAGGTAAAACGTTTCACTTATTTTTTTAGCCAGAAATTTATTTATTTCAAATACATCAGTTAACGTAATTTTGTATTGTAATAATGTCATTGTTAATTAAAGTAAAACATTGGTACATTGGTGTTACTGATAATTTATTAGCATGTTTTTATAACCCCTATTATCATAAAAGCTCTAATTGCTTAATTAATTAATTAACTAACTAATTAATTACTATGAACTTTGTAATTATTTAAATGCAGAGCTAAAGTTCAGAAATGTTGGAGATCAGAAAGAAGTCATGCTAGCATGTTTCATTTGCTTGTTTGAATGTTTGTTTGTCTCTTTGTGTGTTTTGTACACTTTTTTTGTTTGTTAAGTTGTCTGTTTTGTTTGCTCTGAGGAATCTTACTCTGTTTTGCGTTGGTTTCGTTGGATGGTTCAAAGTCGTGATTGTTGATACCATTTTTCAGTGATGTAAATGATGGGAGAGTCAAGGTTGTCACTCCAATTAAAATTTACTTTTTGCTGGCGGTGAGGGTTATTGAACATTTAGATGGTGTAAACAATGCACGAAAAACTACGGCTACAACAAAGAAGACATAAAAGAACTAACCCTATGAAAACTTTTGACATTAATTCACAACAAGCCGCACATTAACGTTTGATGAATGCTAATTCTGCTAATTTACTCAATAATTTATGCTAAAATCTTTAAAATTTTACTTTTACAACATTCAAAAAATTTGTTTAAAATTTAAAAAAATTCGTTCTATTTATATCATTTACGAGAACATGAATTTTGAATCATAAAATATAGGACAGATGGATATATCTTTAGACAATTTCTGGACACACACACACACACACACACACACACACACACACGCACCCACTGAAATGTTGAATGCTTCACATGGTTACGTCATATTTAATGCATTATCAGATGCATTACTGCGAACTGTCTTGCGTAACATCATCTCATTTCTTCGTGTAATATCAGAAAATATTCCAATATAAATAAGTTTATATATGCAATGTTACATAATATTTTTCATACAATAATGTAGCCATACAAATTTATAAAACATTTTAAAAGTTAAAACTCGCATAATGAAAAAAAGTATTCAGTTGTTTTAAAAATTAAATTGGATTGATTAGGTGGAAATGTGATACATGCACTAAGGAATAATTTCAAATAAACAAAGATGCAATCACGCAATGTGAAACAAATAATAAATCGTTCTAGTAAAGAAACAATTCAGCAAACATTGCTACAACTTCATAAATTTACTAAGTTATACAAGGAATACTACTTACCAACGTGAAGAAACATCAAATACACGTACAACTTACACCAAACAAAAGAAGAATCATGTTCAAACAACATTTTAAATTTAATTATTAATAATTAATAATTTTATCGCTGTATCCAAAAAATGGCGTGAATGATATAGAAATAAAAAAGTTTATAAAAAAAATTTAAAAGAAAAAATAAAGAATTACATCATCAACAACAACATTAACCTCATCATCAACAACATTAACATCATCAACAATATCATCAACAACATCATCAACAACATCATCAACAACATCATCAACAACAACAACAAGCAAACGTTTACGTGAGCAACAACAGAAACATATAAATAGATGGAAAAGATGGAAGCATGCATGTCAGGCAGACGTGCGAGTGATTAATGGCGCGAATCATCCAATTCGAACTTTTTCTGGATGAAACAAATGTTTGTGCTTTTTAATAAGTGATTCCGTTAAGACAAGTGCCATCAAATTATTAAGGAGGTTGACGAATGCTGGAAAAGTTTTTTGAAATAATTTTTTAATTATCCAATATTAATTAACCGAGTGAACCTAGTGATAATATAATGACGGGTATTTCAAATTAAACTTTGTTCAGAAAATAATTAAACGGACATACACAAGCATTCGTAAGTACGTATGTTGTACGTAAGTACGTATGTTGTATGCGTGTATGTATGTTTGTTTGTATGCATGTATGCATGCTTGCGTTTATATGAGAAACAACATTAGTTATTGGCATGGAGATGAAATGATAGATGATCACAAAGGTTGTGCACTTAACGTGTACCTGATGGATATAAAAAGATTCGAACTGTTGGTGCACTGAGCAGTGTAGGAGGTTATACACCAAGGAGTAAAAAATAATTAGGAGCAGAATTTTTTTACGTGTAAGGTAATTTATTTCTGAACTGATAATACTTTGATTTTTTCTATGTACTCTTCTTCACATATCTTCAATTAGGATGAAAATCAACACAGTAGCCATCATTTGAACATTCATGCATT